ACAAGTTTTAAACTTGTCGCTAAATGCTTCCGAGTCCCCAAATAAGATTCGGACACATTTCTTCTGTGCAAGGAATAGTGGTGAAAGCTTATTAATTGATACACCACCCCATACAGTTATACCGTATCCTAGATGAGATTCAAAAAGAGTGTGGTATATCTGTTTGTACAGCTGGCTGGGGAGGGAGTTTTTTATTCGATAAATACGGCCACATATGCTGTTTAATTTCTTAGTTAGTTTCTCGATATGAGGTGTCCAACTCAGTTTGTCATCAATAATTACACCTAGAAATTTCGTTTCAGTAACCTGTTTGATCGGGATCCCATCAATTTCTAGATTCAAGTCATTTTCAGTATTATCAATACTAAGTTCAGGTTGTATCTGAGAGCTATTGCATCTGAGAACTGTTGTTTATTATTATATTATTATAAATCATATTGATCTCAGTGATAGCGGAAATCGTGAGTAAAAATCAAAGGTACCACAATGACATAAGTAATACAATAACCGATGACACCAAATGGAGGGCGGTAAAAATAAAACAGATATACCACGTTCCGTCGATGACCTAGAGGTCCGTTTAATAACTTTTTAGAGGGACTTAAAAGAAAAAGCTTAACTCAGCATCACAAGTGTAAGAAATCATACCGGTCAAATCGGAATTTGTTGTAAGGGCCAAGGTGCTTATAAGGTGCAGGGCCCTTATAGTTATAAGGTCCTTATTAAGTGCAATTACTAGGAACTAGACGTAACGTCGCTATAGTTGATAATGTCCTCCAGTGTCTGTATTGCAATATGTAATATGCATTGAGAATATCCGAGGTCCTTTTCACTAGGGACCGTTTCGTTCTATTCAATCTTCCAACAAGTATTTCGGATTTGTCATTTTGGCTGGTTCAATCAAACAGTAACAACTAAAATAACAAACTAAATTATGAATTAACGCTGCTTAACTTTTTGTTTCGTTTGCGCGGCTCATTGCTACACGTTGCACCGCTTTGTTGGCCAGTATCAACTCCATTTTTTGGACTTTGGTCGCTTATACGGCCTAAGCGGTATACAAATAAAGCGTTATTATTATTATTATTATTATTGTACATCTCTATCGTGCACGCTAAGGGACAAACGTGCATTACGCCCAGCAAACCTTACTGGCTAAGCATGTGACTAAATAAAGGTGATCACGTCTTCACAGTGAGTTTATGCTCGTATCATAGTACGTACGCGCGCTCAAATTAACTGATTACACACATGCAGCCTGGCTCATTCCAATTTCTACATGACTCAATTCAACCAATCAGATCTGAGATCAGTACAGAAATTTGCAAAATCTGTTAACATTACACACTTTATATTTATTTTAATGAAACTTCCAAAATGGAACTAAACTTTTTGAAATAACTTTTTGGAATAACTTTTTGGAATAATTTTTTGAAAAAATACATTGCAAAAATCTTTTGGCATATCAGCAAAATTTGCATTATACACATAACAGCGGCACATAATAGCATTAAAATAAAACTATGATTTTCCCGGATAAAAGTCCAAAAAAGGGCTCTTACTAATTCGCTCGCCCAAAAATTTCACGTGACTTTGGTTTTTATGGTTTTGCAGCCGTACAAAACGGTTTTACATAAACCCTTATCCCAACCGTAACCCTAACCATAACCCCGAAGCTAACCATAACCCTTACCACAACCCTAACCCTAACCCGAGCCCTAAACAATCGAATTCGTATTTTACTAGCCTGTCACGTGACCAAAACAGTTTTTTGCCAATAACTCTCCAGGGAAGCATTTTAACCCTATGTCATGGGGGGTGATTCGGAATCAGCGTCCAAAAATACACCGATTCAGATCACTTTCATACCCAAAGGGCCTTTTCACAAGAATTTTCTTAAAATTTGGGCGAGCGATTTAGTAGGAGCGCCAAAAAAGCGGTCAACATTTAAGCTTTTTGCGCGCACTTTATTATTGTTACCGCTATATTTTGGAAATTTCCCCATATGTTTTACAATAACGATTAATTTAAATGTCTTAAATATAATTTTTGCCAAAAATTAATTTTCAATGGAACCAGACCAAATCTTAGGTGCGCCGCGCATATTTTTTTAAATGTACACTGTATAGTATGAAAATCGAGCGCTAAAGCAATTACTGTCATATTATCACAAAAATACTTTAGCAGTTTTTTAGTGTTATTGTGCATTTCAAAACTCCTTTTCACTCTATTTGATTATCTTTTCGATGTATAATTTGATTCGACATTACTAACTATGTTTTCATGTATTCTCATTGATTGTAGCATGGGTCATAACTCGGCTAAATCGTGTTCAATCAACTTGAAATTTTGGGACATCACTTGAATTATGTAACCAAATGTGTTTAGAAACTTTGGAGCTCCTTTACTAGCTCAAAGTGTTCTTACTTCATGGTGACAATAGTGAAAATAGGGAGTGTCTTGCCACACCCTCTGTAATCAACGAAATTTTGCAAAACTTTCACAAATTCTAAGTTTGACCCATATCTATATTATCTAAAATTTGTGTGAAATTCTGACACGAATAACGTATGTCATTAAAGAGTTGCGTGTGGGTAGTTACTTTTGGGCCACCCTGTACTACGCTACAATCAATGCTATTCATAACTAATTATATCTGAGAGACCAAATTTGAATTGTAATCAATAGTTTGATCCAGCAATTTACTACAATTAATGGCAAATTATGCTAGTTGTAACTAATTGCATCCAAGATACCATACATACCATTCAATTTCATAACATTTCATGATTGATTATATGCGGTCATATATGATCTGGTAACCAATCAATAGATTGAAGTGGTCATATTGCATATAGTGTACAACTGTTCACAAAAAAGTTGTTTGCGTACAGGGGTCGGGCTATCTGGGTACTGCCGAAGCTTTGAAGTTCAAACTTACTTACTAGCAACTAGCAAGTAGCACACGCACACACCCACATTTTCTACACCTTACACTTTACACACAGGCCTAGTAGACAAACGCGAAAACCGAAAAAGGTTCTACTCCTACATGACTCCCAGATGAACAACTTTCTACCTGAGTCATTTTCCTCTGGGTTCAAGGTGGAAAAAATGAAAGTAGGCTCTTATACTGACATGATAAAAGACCACTGTATGAGAGATGTCATTAAACAGCCAGAGGTCGACTGTTACATTCTCCAGCTTGGAGTCAACGACTACAGATACAGAACCTGCTCTGTTAATAAAGCGATTGAGGATGCAAAATCAGTCATCGATAAACTCCTCTCGAGCTCCAGCGCAAAGGTTGTCATCTCCCTACCCACCCCAACCCCTGGATTAATCAGTGAACTTACCAACCAATTTGTCTCAGAAATAACACAATTTGTCTCAGCTAAAAGAGGGTTAAGTGACTTTTACCGCCGCCTATATACTGTAAACAATACTGGAAACTTTTCCCGTGCCATCTCTGCTGCTGAGTCATCCCAAGACTCTCCTAACCCGTTGAAGGAGGACCAACTCCATGTCTCAGAGTATGGTTTGAAAAAACTTTGTTTGAATATTAAACTTGGCCTATACCGTGCCTTTGGTATGAGATCCCCTAGAAAGCAGCTCTCCAAAACAGATAGCAAAGCCAACCCCCAGCATACTCTCAGGTACATCTCACAAGACCACTATGAAAGATTCCACCTTAAGTTTATCAAGTGGTCCTTGTCTGTCCATTCAAAAGCATCAAATATAGGCTGCTGGGGCGAAAGTGGGCGCCACCCCCTCTTCTTTGAAGCCTGCAAACTTGCAATAGATTTCTATAGTCGTCTTGAAAGCACTGAAAATGAACTTCTCTCCGCTGCATTTCACGAGCAGATTATGCTGGGCCTTCCTTGGTACACCAACATCTCTAATCTTCTCACCAAATATAACTTCCCCCACTCATCCTCTTCAAAATCCAAGCTCTCTACCCAAATCAGTCACAACATGAGGGAAGAATTTGTGGATACCTGGAAATCTGCCAAGGCATCCTCACCTAAATTAGAATTCTACAATCAAATTAAACATGATTTTGAACCAGAAACATACTTAGGAGTGGTTAAGATCCCCGATGCTCGGAAAAGCTTAACAAGGTTTCGTATTAGCTGCCACAATCTTTACATTGAGAGGGGCCGTTACGAAACCCCCCTAGTACCAAGAGAACATCGATGGTGCACTTTTTGCTTTCTCAGCAAGGGGCTTAAGCCTATTGAGGACGAAATTCATGTTCTAACTGACTGTTTACTCTACTCCTCAGTTAGAGAAAAATTTAACTTCCATCCCAAAAATATTACTGACCTAGCCGGTTTGCTATCCGATAAAACACTAGACCCTACAAAATTTACTGCCACAGCAAGAGCAATCCATTCAATTCTCTCTGTGAACGAACATTTTACAGCCTACTATAAGAGCCCAGATTTCCACTCAAATACTGGCCAATGCATAATGCTATAGGACCTCAAAAATAGTATTATAAAACATTTCTATTTTATCCCTACACATTTGTAAATAACTAGAATTGTGTAACCTTAAATTATTTCAGAATTATAACTATTGTGAATTCAATAAAATAATTATCACTTTTGTATCCTTGTATCCTTGTATCCTTGTATCCTTGTATCCAGGCTGTAGCAACCTAAAAACGAGAATTTATACAATGAGTGTAAACTGTTATAATACTACACGGGCCGCTAGATGCTACAGCCGTGCAATTTGGTAGATCAGTTAGGCCCCATGATCAGTCTTGGCAGCACCTTCCAGATCAGAGATCTGTGCAGTAAGCAGTTTTTCTCAATGCAATGATCTTAATTATAGATATAAGTTATTATTTGTAGTAAACTACAGAGAAAATTCAAATTTTTGGCCAAAAATCTTGGGGGGATCTTCCCCCAATTCCCCCGGGAATTATGGCCCTGTTAGTTGCATCATGTTGAATTGAGTATAACTAATTTTGAATAAAATCAAACTTTTTTAAGAGCATGGACACAAGAGTTCAACAGCAGCGTGCAATGCCTCCCCCAGCAGCTTCTCTAAAGAAAGAGCCCCCACAAATTTTGTATGGGAAACTCTCCAACTTCATTGTAGACAAAAAGGTTTGTTATAATTGCATTACCATGTCCATCATTTCCATTATCCACAGAAGATGATCATCCAAGTATAAAGAATTAAGGCCACTTTTGAGAATTCTTTTCTATCATCGATTATTCAATATTCTTATTACAATGACGGTTACTACGCTAATGTTGATGTTGGGAGATGTGAGCTATACCTAAATTCCATTGGCTTATCAACCTTGGTAAGATCTACACTCTACACTCTACGACAGTATAATCATAAAATTACAGGTTGGTAAAGGGCAGTTTAGTGAGGTCTATAAAGCCAGACTTCACATTGATATGTCCATCGTTGCTCTCAAGAAAGTGCAGGTAAGTAGTTTTCATTTGGGTTCGCATTTTTATCGAATTTCTTAAATGTTTTGAGCACAATTAGGGAATATGAAATAAAAATAATTCCTAATATAAACTTCAATATAATGCTTATTGTAATCACTCAGTAAAATGTTTACAAACTATGAGCAAATCAGCTTGTTACGTTATTTTAAAAGTTCTATATAAAAGTTGCGAATTTTGATCTCCATTTCGAGCCTAGAATTAAATTTTAATCTATCCCAAACTCTATATTTAAATGCCAATCTTTACTATTGGCTCAATCTTACCACTCAACACAACCAAAACACTAAGGACTCATTTTAAAATGAAGAGGAATAAAATTTCCCGGTATCAAACAGGTTTTAATCAATGTTAATGATTCTTAGAAGAATTTTAGCCTGGAATAAATCGTTAACTGAACCAATTTTGACCAGGTGAAGTAAAAATCTCATGTAAATAAGTTTATTCTATTCAATTCAGTAATAAACTGCCTCTTAAAATAACCTTATGTATTGCTCTAAGCTATGGTCATAATATAATGCTTAGTGCTGAGGCAGCTGATGTAGAGTCTTCTAAGATTAGGAAACTGAGAGTATTGCTGTAGTGCTCAAATACCCGCTCTATGAATCGTTTTGTAAGCAATATTTTAGACGATGTGTGTACATGTGTGATGTGTGTGTAAATATATACAGTTACTGAATATATCGAACACCTTGCCGCATAGAGAATGCATATTAAAGTACACTCTTCAAACTTAGTCACGTGACCAATATATATATAAGACGTATATATTCTACAGTTAACATATTACAATAGAATCGTTTTATATGTTAAAGAACGTTTATGTGTCTTATACGCTTGTTTGTAGTTTAGTAGTCAAATTACCAGTCTATAATGCTATAAGCATCCGTTAAGCTTATAAGCTGGGTACTATTATAACGTTTTTAATGAGAAAATATAACATAATAGTATGTTCATTGTTATATATTAGTGCTTGTAATATATAACAATATATTAAACAACCGGGTATTCAATTTGCCAATTTGGAAGCTGTCTAAACACACTTGTCTTGACACGTGACAGCTCATTATGTGTATTGTTTATACCACTACTATATACTATACCACTCCCCAATTTCAGATATACGAAATGATGGATGCTAAAGCTAGGAACGATTGTATCAAAGAGATCGATCTTCTAAAGGTTGCCATTTGAACATCATAAAATCATAATTGCATATCAATAGTGTACTAAGAATGTTTCAGCCATTCGATATGGCATGTCAATTAATCGGTTTCATAATGAAATTATAAGCTCCCAATACGTACGTTCTATAGTTGGTTATATAATAGGGTGGTTATAACAGGACAAAACAAACGAATTAAAAAGTTTGCAATTTTCAGCAATTGAATCATCCTAACGTTATCAAGTACCTGGCTTCCTTCATTGAGGATAACGAGGTGAGTTTTTGTCGTATGACGTCACGTGACGTCATTACTAGTTACTACGTCATTACCACGTCATGTGACGTCATTAAATTCTTAACTTTTTAATAATATGCAATATGAATATGCATACATTTTTTACAAGGGCATAAGTGTGTGACATTACAGGGCATTTCATCATCATGCTAGTTTTTATACTGCACGTTTGTACAGTTTTTTTGAAGGCTATAAAATGTATTATGGTCTGAGCCATTCGAGCATAAATGCATATTTAGAGGCACTGCACACGTCATGACGATATGCTGAAGGCATAGATGGATCTCGGTCATTTATAACTACCTATATATGCACATACGCATTTGTGTGTGGTCGGAGCAGGGTAAGATGGTCGAGTTGGAAATTGAATTTTTTTGGTGGTTATTGAACCTAAGGAGCAACAAATAAGAACTCCACTCAGTTGTTTCAATAACATTTTGAAACCTACCTAATAATGATAACAATGTATTTATCATAATATTTTGCTCTCTTTCAGCTAAACATAGTGTTGGAGTTAGCAGATGCTGGTGATCTATCTCGAATGATTCGTGTAAGTATCTACATTTTAAATTCTGTTGTGCGGTGTCTTTTTCGTAGAAAACTGAAAACCTTGTGTAGAATTTGAATAATTAGAATAGCCAGTTTTTTTTCGTGTTGTAAAGTTTTGCCCAACCAAACAAAATACAAATTGTATGACAACACGACCCTTAACCTCTCAAGTTTGCGTTCCAGTATGACATAGCCCAACACATGAATTATGAACGTCAAAACTTGTTATAATAAAAGTTTTTCTTTCAGTTATTTGTTTTTCTTTGTTGTAATAAAAGAATTTCAAAATGTTATTCTAGACATTTCAATTTCCAGCACTTTAAGAAAGGGGGAAAGTTGATTCCTGAACGAACAATCTGGAAATATTTTGTACAGTTGACCAGTGCTGTGGAGCACATGCATTCAAGACGTATCATGCACAGAGGTAATAATAGTTGATTTTAAATAGGGATCAATCGTGTGACGATCGTAGCTTTTAATATAACAATAAAGTGTTCTTGAAATGTTATTTTTAGGCACTGAGCCAGACTAATTCTCTATAGCAGGTTATCAAGGTTAATGGTCATCCAATCTCATTATTTCAGATATAAAACCATCCAATGTGTTCATAACAGCTGCGGGCGTGGTTAAGCTCGGAGATTTGGGATTGGGCCGATATTTCAGTTCAAAAACTCAAGCTGCCCACTCCCTTGGTACGTGACAATTAATAAAGTTTTTCTTTTCTAAGGAAGTCGGAAGATCGTTTCTCTGTATAGCAGTTCGCAAGCATATTTCTGACTCTGTCACAGTGGCAAAAAAATGTAACTTTACGTAGCGCGCGATGTAATATTTATTTTGCAATATAAAGTTGTTCGCAGTTAGTGCAACAAGAATCGAGCTGCGCGCTAGCTAGCTAGATTAATTTATAACTTATATTCTCGAAATGTTTCTAAACAGTAAACATGCCGTAATTAGGGGTTATTACTTATTACTTAGTTCGATCATCAGTTTTAGATAAAATCACCGTCACTTTAAGGCGATGAGAAGTTACATCCGAGACATACAGAATTCTGAAGTCATTTCAGGCAGAGGATGGCAACATCCTTATGAAAAATAAATAAATAAAATAAAATGAATACTATTAGTATTAATACAAACTTAAGTTCTTACGGACATTCACACCATTTCAAGTTCATCGTGAGAGTTCCTAAAAGCATTGAAACCCTGATGAATACTTTTCAGTCGGAACACCGTACTACATGTCACCAGAAAGAATCCACGAAAACGGGTACAACTTCAAATCTGACACCTGGTCCCTTGGGTGCCTGCTCTACGAAATGGCTGCCCTGCAATCACCTTTTTACGGTGACAAGATGAACCTTTACTCCTTGTGCCAAAAGATTGAAAAGTGTGACTACCCTCCCCTGCCCTCCGAACACTACTCCAAAGAGGTTGTTACTTATTTAATTAAGTAAATCACTTATCTATATCAATAATCCCAAAAAGTGCGTTCGTTTGTGTATGGGAAATTTCCGAATTTCTAAATCAAGAAAACGGTAAGAGTTATGGGACTAGTTTTTTCGGTATAATTTCGATAAAACTCGGAAGAAGCTAAATAATTAAGGTTTTTTAATTCGGCCGGTGATAACGGTTTAAATTGATGGTCTTGACCCAAATGTGATACTAAAGTGTCTCATGTACTCTCCCTCTCTCTCACTCTCGCTCTCTCTCCCCCATAACAGAATTACTATATAATTAGGTAATTATACTCAAGATTTCCTCTCAAGTATTACTATTAGATACATGATGGGCACTCAGAATTAAATTACGGTCCGTTTGGACTGAGCGACTTCGTACTTTCACCCCGTTTTACCTACGAAAATGTAATGCGTGTTTTCGAATATAATAGGTGGGTTTCAACTGAGATACTGAAGTCCCGGCCGTAGGCACGGGTCACACATCTCGCCTGAATGACAATATCGTTTTAATTTCTACAACATTCTAGAACTACGAGAAGATGGAATGGAAGCGTTGTAACCAGGTGTAGCCAGTCCCCGGCTCCATAATGAAAAGAATTTGTTTTCATTCTAGATGAAAAGCTACAATATCCTGTTGGCTGTTTATAAAATATACGACATTTCAGCTTCGTGACTTGGTGGACATTTGCATAAACCCTGACCCGGAAAAACGACCAGATATTCAGTATGTTCACGAGGTGGCTAAAAAGATGCACGCTGCTTCCCTCCACTGAGTTTGATTTCCTGAAAGTAGATACCCCTGTCAGCTCTGATTCGTTCTTCTTCGTCGTCCACTTATTCTAGTATGCCACTGTAAAATTTTGCTGAAATAAGCACACTGGTCTTGACATGTGATCATATTTTGTGTATTTGTTGATCAGGTTTAAAATCTCGACTGCCAAAATAACTAGAATTGGGGCTGAAAGGGTTATCAGGACTTCCGTGTCAGTAAGTCGAGGAATTATTTATTAACTAAAAGATTTCGTTTTGTTTTGAGTTTATGCGATAGCTTGTCAGTTTTAAGGCCCGTGTGGCTAGGCCCAAATGAGCTGTCATTGATAAATCTGATTTTTATTTTGAGCATGGCAGCCCGCAGTATTTTATAATTAACGACATCGGTATCATCTTTTCCACGAAGCGTTGTTTATCTTGCTGTGCAATTTGCTCAAGTTTTTGCACCATTTAGTTCTAATTAGATACATTAGACTGTTTACCATCTTATGTGTTTTCGTTTAAGTTTTCGTGTTATCTTTTTACAGTATGTAAATAGCAGGTAGATATTATATAAAACGTAGTCATTTCTTTATAAATTACAAACGATGTTGGCTTTTTGGTATCAAAGATATAATCGTAACTTTTTAAAAGTTTACAAGTACAGTAAAATCAGAAATACAGTTTACCGTTTACAGTTTTTTAGATAAGAAATTTTTTCAGATTAGAAATTGAGTATTTATTTTTGAAATCACCCCTTTAGAATATAGAAAGAGTATAGATCAGTGCATTCTTCAAAAAATACAAATATAGGTGACTATATTTTGACTAAAATTGTTTATCTCGTAAGATACATGATAAATTTATCAATGAGATTAGTCGTTATTAATGAGATTGTCGATTTAAAAAAAGCCGCATTTTATTTCCTCATGGTTGAATCATTGAATAGAACTCCTTAACTTCGTTTGCACCAAAATTGAAACTAAATTTTATTCAAAGTATTTACACTATAGCATTTGATCCTGTGCCGAAGAAATTCCTCCCACTGAGTTAACGTAATTATCATGTACCATATTTTATAAACTTGACTCCTGTTCGGATCCCCAATAATAATGATCCTGACACTTTTTTCAAGGAGAAGTATAAAAACTATCCGTTATAGCCACTCCATATGATAACTTGAAGATAACCACCAATGTTAGACCACACCCAATCTGAATTTGATGAGATAAGCTCAACCAAGGAGTTGTTTGCTAATTGTCAGGCAACTGCTGACAATTACATCTCCCCCAAAACTATATGCCAGCTAATTAAAGCAGGTAAGTGAGACAAAATATGCTTGGATTATGTGCATATAATATAGCTACCATTATTAATAGCGTCATACAGAAACAGCAGTGAATTGAGCTGATACTATATGGATATAAACAGTATATTGACTATTGAGTTACGTTATATTTAACTGATCCCTTTTGTACCCTACGTCCCTTATTGCAGGAATGTAGAAGAGTTAAAAGAGCTGCTGCCAAATGTAGATTTGTCCTCCCCGGTTATTGACAACACTCCAGCTCTACATTTCACTGTTCGAGAGAGGCAGGTTAGTTCTTAATGTTCTCAGGCACCTTCTAGAACAAACTAGTGATATTTGAATCTTGTGACTTTAGGGTCGTGACTTGGTGAACTCTTAAAAATGAAATGTCTATAAAACCTGACAGTTTCATGAAAAGAGGATAAAGATTTAATTCTGTAGCTACTCTAATACTCTGAAGTCTGATGATGTACTTTTTCAAAATTTCCACTTATTTCCAACTAAATCCTCCTATTTAGGGTGAAGTTTTAGAGTTGCTCCTAACAGGTGGTGCTGACATTAACCAGGCTGACGGGGATGGGAGAACTGGTCTTCACATTGCTATCAGGTTAGCACTTAGTAGCAATAACTAGTAGGACTGTAGGAGTCCTACTAGTTATTATACCCTGACACTGGTACAGATCTGCTTGTTCGTTATTCACTAGTTTAAATTCTGTCTCAGGTTTGTTAGGATTGGGTACAAGTCAGGGTCACAGGTCAGTGACATCATTAATGTGAGCTAGAATTGGATGTAAGGAAGACTACATCCACTTCAAGTACACTTCACTTATAGATCGTGACTGGCACCCTTTTACCATTCTACTGATTGCTACTTTTCAGTTTAATCACATTACTTCTTCTATATTATATGTTTTAATGTTAGAATGTTTAACAAACAGGTGTTTTATTTCAGTAATCACCTAATTGATCTATCAATAAAACTGCTGCTAGCTGGATGTCGAGTTGATCTGCTCGACAACTTCGGCCAACATCCAGTACATATAGCAGTAGATAACGAGGATATGGAGGCTTCTCAGCTTCTGCTCGACTTCCACTCGTGAGTTCTGATTATAGGTTACTTTTTTCCAATATCTGTTGGTAGCCTGGTGAAGGTTTAGGGCCTCTGGACGGCCCTTTTAGGGACTCTTTTAGGGCCTCTTCTTAGAGGATAACTTAATGACTTAAAGCAGAATAACGTTTACAGACCAATTAGCGGAGACTAATTAGTGCAGCCGCCTTTGTGAGAAGGAGCGAGATCATGGGTTCCGACGAAAAATAGAGGGCGGCAAGGGTAGCACGTGAAATCCTATGTAAAATAGCCCATAAATAGCTGGTAAATATGATATATCATTAGCAAGCCATATCATTAGCAAGTCATGAAAACCTCGTTGAGAACCGAGACGGTATTTATGTATAGGAAATACAGATTACAGAAGGCGCATGACGTGTAATAAAAGGCATACCGTCCCTAAAAAAGCTCACTTCTTCGGCCCACGACACATTTTTGAAAGATTTTGTTAAGTTTCTCGACAAGTTGATAAGGCTTTAAGGACTGATGTAGTGGTTCTGCCAGCACCTGTTTCAACTCCTCCAAATCTTCATTTCATGAGCACCGTGCAATGACCAGAATTGCCAGATTCCTTGCGGTTCTACTAAATTTAGCAACAGTTAAAGCAAATACTATTCCTTTTCCGGAGTGGCAGAGTGTCGACTCTCAATCACGAAATGACTACAATGCAGATGACATTCTCGTTATAAAGACGGACTCAGCCCACGAGAGCGAGGAAAAAGTAGCGATCAGATACGAACCGACTAAAGCGGGTGAAAGTAATCGCCAGTTGTACTTGAATTTCGCTAAATCAGCCATGCAGTACACAATCAACGCGTGTACAGGATACAACACAGGTCATCCAGGCAGATATTCCGAGCCAAAAGAATAAGACTTGGTACATTCAGCGAAACCAACAGCGCATCATCATCAGCTGTAACGATAAAGAGATCATCAACTTTTGGTTTGAAAAGGAAATGAAGGCTGTGTTGGAACTTGGAGCAGGACTGATAAGGAGGTGCGGTTTTTATCTTCAGACACGGCATCTGACCAATTCAGGGTTCTACTCAAAGACACAACATACTCCAACAAAACAGTTATACTACCAGGTTAGTTACCATTAATAAGGAATTTTAGAAGACATTCACATTAGGAGGTAACTTCGACGAGAATTGTGTTGCATACAGGTGAGCCACAGTGCGTGGTGTCTATATTGGTGAGAACTGAGAAGGTATTAGAGCGAAGGTTGAAAACATATCAAATTTGGCCGGAATAGCGCGAAAAACGATCATTGAGGACAATAACCAAAAAGTAAACTTTCTAACGAAGATATCAATTATACATTTTAACTATCACGTGACTTCACTTGATTTTTCATTCGACCCACATTCGAGTCTGACTTAGGGACTGAAAGTATCGAATATGATTCCCTCAAAATCTTCTTTTAGTGATAAATTACATAATTACATAATTACATAATTAGTGAGAAATTACATTTCCCTTGCCCCCTCGTACGGTACTCATCAGTTCCCACAGTACTCTAAAATAGGACACGATGTTGCTAAATTCTATGAATTATCCGATGAATCAGTGATCACAGCCCAAATGATCGAATTATCCGGTGAATCAAATCGCAAATCTCCTTATCAAAAGAATTAGGATTAATTGTAGACCATAATCAAGGTATCAGGTGACTTTGAGTCGGAGAAGTGTTTTGGAGTTGTGCCGAGCGCTCAATTTATCATGTCCAATCTTTGGCTCCGATAAAATGAATTCCGGTTTAACCTGAAATGATATAAAAGTATAAATAACTGAAACTTTTCAATATAAATTGAGTCAAATTAGTCCGGAGTGGTCTGAAGTTACAAGGCACTGTGTAAACTTTAATGTTAACTTCTCTCTGATATATCTTTCTCGAGTATGACTCTCACTAATAATCCCATTCAATCCGGCACTTGCTCGTCTGAACTTGTCCGGCTAGCCTGACTGACTTTGCCTTTCTCGTGGTCATTTGTCTAGATCTCGCGCCTTCTTCTTCAGATGTCTCCTCCCCCCTCCTCCCTTTCTTGCCGCCTCTCCCTGTAGCGTGGCAGCTCATGATCTCAATTCTTCTTGTGTGGTCTAGTCGCCGGACAATGACTCTTTTAAGCCTAGTAACTAATAGTTACTCGTCAGACTGTGCATTATGCTTATACCCTTTAATCTCCATATTTAGTATGGCGATTAAAACGGCAGGACCGCCTCCATAAAATCAGATATCTGACATTTCAGCGATGAGTAAAGCTCATAACATCAGATATCCGAAATTTCAGCGATGTTAACATCCAGAATATGTACGGCAAAACGTGTCTCCACCTGGCGATAAAGTTGGGGAACGCTGCACTTATAGACTTGTTCATGTCACACGGTGCCCTGGCCTCTATTCCTGATAACAACGGTCAAACTGCTGCTCACATTGCTGCTAAGGCCAACAATTTTGAGGTTAATTCCACATTTTTCTGAAACTCCCACTAGAATAATGCTTTGTGTGATCATATATATTTTCAAATTGTGTGACTAGTGATTTTTGGCTGGGGAATTTAGATAAAGCTGTTTTGTTTCAGGTTTTCAAGGAACTCTCGACTAAATTGGAGACAGATTTCGATCGCAAAGATAAGCTCGGTAGGTAAGATTAATAATTTACTTCTCAAACGCAGTTTTTTTTCAGTTAACTGAAAAAAAAGTTATCCTCATATTTTGACAGATTGTGACAAATAGCAAACTAAGCAACGAGTCGAAATTCCTAAATCTCTAACTGCTCTCTAACGCGTGTAAATAGCGTTTGTATTATTTTGGCGATGACGTCATAAAGTCCCTTGCGCGCGCAGAGGAGCTCGTGACACTGTATTTTACAGGTAGAAAATGGACATAATACAATGTTTTTCCCCGAATAACTCGAAAAGTAAGTAATTTAGGGTACATGTTGCTTCATAAGTTGTATATAAACATGGCCATTCTGCACAATTTGCATACATCCAAAAACCTTTAGGGCCTTCATAGCCCAATTTACCAGATACCCATAGTTTTGCATGATTTCTGGAACCGAAAATCAGTTTTTGGCCAATAACTGAAAAAGTAAGCACTTTAAGGCATATGTTTGTTCGTAAGTCATATATTAATATGCTAATTGCGGTTCTTTTGCACCCTGTCTAAAGACTCTATCACGATCCTATCGAAAATGGGCTCAGCACCACGCCCAAAATGGTTTTTGGCGAATTTCTCGAAAAGTAAGGATTTTAGGCCATGTGTTGCTCAATAACTCCTATATAAACATGCATATGCGGCTTCGTTTAAGCCTATTTTGAAGTCTCTACGACCTTCAGAAGCAAGGGGTCGGTTAAGTTATTGGGTCAATATGGGCGTGGCCCTCCTGGGTTTTCTCCACGGTCAAAAAATATCTCCAAACGAAAATAGTTTATTCATACCTTCGGGAAGGTCTGTGCAAAGTTTCGTGAGTATCTGAACATTAGCGGGTTCATTTCCATAAATGTCCATAAATGACTGGACTACACAACTTTAGAGTTAACTTTAGAGAAACTCATAAGTCATTTATCTCAAATTAAGCTGTTAGTGTCCATGATCAACCTATGGCGACAATGTTTTACGTGAAATGTAAAAATCAGGAGTAATATAAAAAGTGTATTTTCAGATTAAAGTGCTAGCTCATAGTTTTAGAATTGTATAGATTAAAGTTGGTCGTTTAGCCATCTAACAATCGATCGTGCCGTAATATATGGCCAAAGAATAATAGGGTCTTGGAAATTGTATAGTTGTTCAGTGGGTCGATTGACTGAACACGTTTGCACTTGGTATTTAAACTTACCAGTAGTTTATTTATGTTATGTACCGATGATAATGCAATTAGGATAACAACTAGGTAAGCCGTAAGTCTAATTCAAAACACACCGCACACGCGTACACTCCAATCAGTATTACTATTTGGTAGACCGGGTATTATGGCGGGAATTCTGTTCCCATGGCACTGTTCTGATAGAAGCTACTTCTACTAATGGTCCCAGAGGAACGGCCGTAAAGTAGCCAGACCTCTTGTCTCCTATACTGGCTGACACATGCCATGCGGACTAAAGTTAGAAATTTCGCTATGCTATAAATATATAATTGCTCTCGGAATGGAACAAACTCCTACTTATCTAGATCCTTTCTAAATTCGTTAGAGTTTCATGGACTGGGGAAAAATAATCGGTACAGTCTCCCTGCTTGTGTAACTAGCAATGAAAACAATCCAAAATTATCACATATGACATATAAGTTGTAATAGCAGAAACTTTCTAACCGTACATTCACCCGCCACTGTTCAAGAACCTATATCACTGTTTAAAATCATGACGTGAGCACTGTACATCCAATCAGCTGTTCCTTTAGTTAGGATGATAGCCAAAACTATAAGGATTTTGGAGAACTAGGGAAATAGTCATAATTCTAAAATTTGAGTGAGTTACAGGTGTTTTATTGACAACGATAAACATTTGCAACTTATTACGCTATGCCAGCGCGCACTGAGGGACTTTATGACGTCACGAGGCCACAGCTTATTATTGCAATAACACGCGTTACACGTACGCTAGAGAGTTGGTTCTTTCGGCGATACGATTCTTTACCGGTTTGACACAACTGATTTAAATCTTAGCCAAATTGGAGACTACAAATTTTTCAGTTAACTGGTCCTTTAACTAATCGGATCTAAGTGGCCTGATTTCAGTATAAAAATAGGGAAAACACGAGGACCTAGCTAATATGGAGCAGGTGTTCAAACCTCCAATTATTACCTCTTGATATATAATTACAATTTGAAGATTATTCTGGGCAAGAATTAATGTGGCAACACGTGATTTAAGAATGACTTACACGTGACTTACACGTGATACACCCCTGTAGGTAGAACAGCACTGTTGTGGACTATTAACAACAGTAACCTGGCCATGCTGGATTTCCTCTGTGAGCTTGGTGTAGACCTTTCTGTCAGAAACTACTTCAGAGAAACTTCACTCTTCACAGCTTCTAATCTCTATATCTACCACAAAGATAACACCGATAAGAGCAGCATTCTGGTAAGCTTTTCTCGATTTTTACTGACCTGTTAATTAATGGCAATCAATTATAGTACATTTTATAAACCTCTGTTAATGTGACAATTCCTTCTCCGCCAGAAAGACATGATCTTGAAGCTGATGGAGCACGCAGCAGATCTAGATTGTCCTAACGTGAAAGGAGTTACTCCAGTTCAGCTGTTTGTGAGTAATGGAGTACTTGACATGTCACATCTTCTGCTTCTAAACGGGGCTGATGTGAATCAGACTAACCAGAGTGGTAAGATAAAACAACTCTTTTATTCTTATCTTTTTTACTTCCCTAAACTGTTTTGATTGTGATGTTAACTTTGAACCAGGTGGAGTATTATCATAGCAGCACTTTGGTAAAATTGACATATTTTGAGTGTCCCTGTAATAGATCAACTTCAAGAAATTGATTGATCAATTTGAAGTAGAAATTGGAATAATAGTCGATGTTGAAATTCCTAGTTTAATATGCAAATTATGCATTTTGGTAAATTTAATTTCAAAATGTCCTGTTTAAAATTTCCTGATAGTTGAATCAGTTACTTCAGGGGAAAGTTTGCTCTACACTGCAGTCAGAAACTCAAACCTCGACCTGACAGAACTTATCCTTGGGTTTGGTCCACGGTTAGAGGATGATAATTCTAGAGATGTCTCCTTACTTCACATCGCCGCTTTTAATGGTGCGACTTTTTATTTTACACCTTCTTAAGAGTTTCATAGTATAGATTGTTGATGTTTTTAAAAAAAACATTATTAATTAAGAAACTGTTTACACCATTAAAATATTCAAAACCCCTAAAAGAAATCAAGTCATCCTAAAATGGTGATCAGTACAGATCAAGACAGCTAGAGTTAAAATTTGTTTCTCCAAACAATTTGTTTCTCCAAACATTATCATTATTGTTATTATAGAAGTGTAGAACAGTCTGTCCTCTTCAGGAGATGAAGAGATGTTAGAATTGTTACTTCACAACAGAATGAAGCCCAGTCTGACCAACGGTGAGGGGCAAACACCTCTTCACATAGCAGTCTCACGATTACACGTTAGTTCTTACTTAGTTAATCAGTTTAATCTGTCAATTCTTGAGAAATATATCAATTCTTTAATATCCACTTTCTGAATATTTTAAAGTTATAAATAAAAATCAAAATGATGTGATATATCGTATAATATCGTCGTTCATTTTAAGTTAGAGTGTCGCCCGTCTGATTCAATCATCAAACCACCATTACAGCATTACAGCTCCCTTAGTGTCGCTTAACTGCAGCAATCAATATAAATGGCAACAAATTAAAAATAGCATGTTCCCACGTCGCATGATTATCATTCGTACAAATATCACATCATCTCACTCAATGAAATATTTTAAACGGTCAATTCTTTTAAATTTTTCTCTAGAATCAAGTCACCCATAACTCCTTTTTATAAAATATGGCTACCCATCTAACCTATCAAAATGATAGGTTAGATGAGTCACGTGAGACTTTCCCAACATTTCTTATCAGACAAAGGCTACTCCCTCCTTTCCTTAGAATGGACGAATATAGCACCTTTTTAGATCCAGGCTTTATTGAATATCATTGAGACCCTCAATATACTAATTTTCATCAGTTATAATTACTGTTAACTTGGTAATTTTATTGTTAAAATGATAAGTAAAAAATAAGACCAATCTTTTCCAGGAGAAGTGTATGAGGGTTTTGATAAAGTTTGGAGCAGACCTTTGCAGTCAAGACAGCAAGGGGAACTGTCCACTTCACTTCCTTGTATCCAAAGCAGCATCTTTTAACCTGTATGTGGACATGAAGACCAAAACAAGGCTCACCGGTAAAGTCAGTTATGTGAACAGACACTGGTAATTAACTGCAAATCTTGGAATTTTTATGTGATAAGATAATTTTGATAATTAAAACTAGCCCGGCTAACGACACATGAGCCCTTTTTGTGCAGAATTTTTACATAATCAGATTTCGCAACTTTCACACCGAGCATTCAAGAAAAAGGTCGAAATGGTTGCTGAAATAAAAATAACATTTTATATTCATAATTTTGTTCATTTTTTGATTGAAGATTTATAGTAATTAGAATTCGCTGGTTCATTAATTAAACTGTTTTTAAATTTAGCAACGTGAGTAACGTGAGGCTAATAAGTATGTCGAAGATTAAATTTGAATGAATTCGATCATGCCCGTATGATTCACAACTCCACCCAAGGTTGCGTTATAGATAAGGTAATTGATTTAATTTAAATTTATATGGATTCAGTTTGGATGATGAGGGTTTGATATTATTATATTTGTAATTTATACTTCTGAAACTCGTATTTCAATCCAGAATAACTTGTAAATCTTGTAAATTTATCAAAATTTTATTAATTTGAACTTCCCTCCTTCGCTCCTTTCCTCCTTCCCTCCGTCCCTCCGTCCCTCCTTCCCTTCTTCCCTCCTTCCCTCCTTCCCTCCTTCCCTCCTTCCCTCCTTCCTCCTTCCCTCCTTCCCTCCTTCCCTCCTTCCCTCCTCCCCTCCTTCCCTCCTTCCCTCCTTCCCTCATCCCCTCCTTCCCTCCTTCCCTCCTTCCCTCCTTCCCTCCTTCCCTCCTTCCCTCCTTCCCTCCTTCCCTCCTTCCCTCGTTCCCTCGTTCCCTCCTTCCCTCCTTCCCTCCTTCCCTCCTTCCCTCCTTCCCTCCTTCCCTCCTTCTCTCCTTCTTTCCTTCCTTCCCTCCCTCCTTCCCTCCCTCCCTCCCTCCCTCCCTCCCTCCCTCCCTCCATCCCTCCCTCCCATTATCTTATGGAGTTATGGGATATAATGCTGTCTGGCAGTGGTCACATGATCAAACGCGAACTTCTTCCTTTGCTTCAACTTCAAGGGTTAACATTAGCTACTATAGTGTGTTAGGCTAGTTTAGTTTTACCAGTTAGGGCACTAACTCAGTTAGTGCCCTAACTGGTAAAACTAAACGACCGGGAGAGTGTACTGTTCTTGTGAAATCATAAGACGGTATAATACAATTGTACGTTGTCTTAAGACGGTATAACAGTTTTTAATGTAGCGAAATAAACTGGTTTATACTATATATTTGGATCAGGACTGGTTTTTGTAACTAATACAATCGGTATTTGTCTGGGTGCGCTAACTACTCTACTACATTGTTGAAGCTTTTCGCACTCCTCGTGCTATGACTGAACGTTTCGGTGTACCAAAATACCGCAGCTCCTCTCGAGAACATTTGAATTGGCAGGGTATGAGGGTATGTTGGCCGAGGAAAGGCACTGGACAGACTGCCTTATCGGACCTAATTATTTGAACGGACATTAATTGAACGCTGGAGACCCTAACGTTCATTTTGATGTCCGTTCAAATAATGTCCGTCCGTTTAAAGTCCGTTGAATTTTATCAAAAATTATTCCACTGCGAACTTTTTGTCCAGGATATGACAACTTTATAATTTCAGTTAATTTAAATTTCTATCATCGGACTAAACTATATCAATATCATTGGATCTATAAAAACAAGTTATTTCAAATTTAAATATTCTAAATATCATATTATGGCACTTTTGCACTTTCTTGATCTACGGTTCCTCGTTCATTTCTTCGGAGTTACTATCAATCTACCTCCACATCTTCTAGATCTCTTACAGTTGTTTATCCAACTCGTAGTTGTACCGGGTAATGAAAGATAAACGACATCAACTGCTCTACCGGAGATACTACTACTAGAATGCCTGAGGTACAACTTGAGCTTTATCTCTAGCCCCCCACTTGGCACAGGGCTAGGCTACCTAGCCCTACATGGTTCATGTCAACGACGATACCTTCTAGTTCTACCAGTACCATACCAATACCATATGCCAACCATCTCGATGATATAGAATTCGAAAACCGGGATATACCTTCCGAGGGATATGGCCGACGTACCTTCATAGTTCATACCTTATCTGTACAGCATTTGACATTTTTTAATGCCTAACGACTGCTTTTCTTACTCGCTCATGCTGTAAGTGTATGAAAAATTGATAAATAAAAATTATTTGTTAAGGGGGGGGGGGGGGGGGGGGGGGGGGGCCAAATTTTTGTACATGGCCACCAGATTTTTGCCAAATATACATGTACAAATATGTACAAAAATGTACAAAATATGTTTTTTCCTGTTTGGCCACCAGATTTTTGCCAAATGTACATGTACAAAAATGTACAAAAATGTACAAAATATGTTTTTTCCTGTTTTTCCTGTTCCGTTTCCAGCAGGGACAAAAGGAAATCGCGGCATGTACCGGAATCGCGATTTTCCCATTATTTGCGACAAGTTTTATGTATAGTTTAATGTATAGTCTGTTAAAAATCGCGGTATCGCGATTTTTGGCCAAAATAATCGCGAAATCCTTTTGTCCCTGGTTTCCAGGGATTTCCGATTTTTTGTACATTTTTTTATGACCATTAATGTACATGGCCATCAGATTTTTGCCAAATGTACGCTAAATTAGTGTACAAAAATGTAGTTGGACCCCCCTGTTAAAATTTGGAAAAAAATGAATAAATTCGTATTTTTAATGCATAATGGTTTTGAACTCCTTCGAGCGTTCATTTTAATGTCCGTTCAAGTTCAACATTATGTCCGTTCACATAATGTCCGTTCAAATAAGGTCCAATAAGGTATTACTCTCAATTACACGTGATCTTAACCGCATTCAACAATTACATAGTTACGATAGAATGCATTTTATTAAAACGTGAGTTTTGCGGTTGAACAATATGCATATATTTATAATCACCATGGTATGATGAATATAATTTTTGTTGATAGTGATGGTTTTTGTTGGATCAGGGCCCAAAATAAACCAGTGCAGAGTAAAATCTTAAAATTAATGGTGACCATGACAACATGTGACATGTTAAAAACATTGTGAACAATTCATTAGAGGTGAGAAGTAGTCGTGATGTTGCTTTAATTAGACCTAATTCAAATTGACACGTATAATATTAATAGTGTAATGTTGACACGTATTATTATGTTTATCGGCATTAATGACAGTTGAAATGATTGTCATTAATTCAGCTGAATTTTTAGTTTTGTTTTTAGTTTTGCTCACCCAAATCTTTTTTAAATTATTGTGAAATAAAGGCCCTGATCTGAATTCCGAGGGTATGAATATAATGAAAGTGTGATGTATTTTGGACGCTGATTCCGAACAGGCTAGTAAAACGAAATTTCGATTGTTTAGGGTTATGGCTGTGGTTAAAAGGATATGATTAGGGTCCGGCCGAAACCCTCAAAACAGTTTGGGTTAGTGTGTACAACTGTTTTGTTTAACTGTAAAAGCTTAAGTCACGTGATAATTTTTGTGTTTTGGGCGTACGAAATAATGTAAGCCATTAATCCACCTAATGATCCATCTTGCAAAAAAGTAGTAGTAATAATATTATCGCATCGAAGAAGTGAACGATATTCATAATTAACGCTGATCATTTAATTTTATCATGAAGTGTTAATTTTTGTCCAACACAAGACCCTCTCCCTCTCCTTCTTCCTCTCCCTCTCCTTCCTCCTCTTCCTCTCCTTCCTCCTCTCCCTCTCCTTCCTCCTCTCCATCTCCTTCTCCATTTTATTTTATCCATTTTCCTCTCCCTATCATCTCTCCTTCTTTCATATCTTCGCTGTTTCGTTCGTAGACTTTTGGGTTATTATCATTTACCTCTATTTCCGATAATGATATTGGAGTTCCAATATAATTTAGTCATTCAATTCAAGGTGCTTGGTATCCGTTTCTTCCTTTTCATTTTTGACTCGTATAATGAATAATTCAAAAACAATTTATAAAAATTGATTCTAAATCTAATATTCATAATATAAGAGTCAAAGGACTGAACGGGTGTGGACCCTGAGTGCGGCGGAATCGGAGTCAGTTTTAAGCAACCTTCTCTAAACCTGTCTGAAGATACTTAAAACAGCTGGAAACAGTTTGACAAACTCCGCTAGTTGAGACCACGTTAACAATGACTAAGTTTGAAATGAACAACTCCCGATGGCGGGCGTATGGGGTGCTGGTGGCCATATTCCTGCAAACCATCTCCACAATGAGTGTAGCGTATGGTTCTTCCTCGTACTATGTCATCGCTTTTCAACGACGCGGTAAGAAACACGTGGTTTTGTTATTAAAATCATGGGCCCCAAAATTTAGTACTGATAGCAATTATGTTTGAGAAGTTGCTACACGTTGCATATTGGTATTCCTTTCGTTCACGCCGGCCGGCGCAAAAAGGGAAATGCAACGTGTATTAATTAAGTCTAAGAAGCGAGAACTGGATTTTGTGATTTTGTAATATTCGTAAATCATCATCATAGGGTGAAGTGACTTGGTAATCAGCCAATTTCCTTAAATAAGTATGGGTGGTCAAAAATATTGATATTCAATATTCATCTAGAAGTAGATTGAAAAAATGGTCGAAAGTTCTAACGACCTGTTTCAGGAGTGGAGGGTTACTTAGTAGGTCTGTTCAGCTTTGGACCAGGTGTGGGTGTACTGATAGGATTCTTCTTCGACACGACCCACTATTTTATCCACCGGCACAACGTGAGCGTCTTCCTCGTGGTCTGCGGGGCTCTTATCTCCACAATTATTATCTGTGCTGGGACTGGTCTAGCTGCTCTCATTCCCTCAAACCTCCCCGCCATGATTATCATGATTATACTTCGTGTCCTCTTCGGGTTCCTGGAACTAAGACTTTGTGAGATAGCGGTGGAATGCTGTAAGTTTTGGTTTCCACACCATTTCAGGGTGGTCCAGGGGATTACAAATGGCGGGTATTACCTTGGGGCTGCCTTGTTTAATCAACTTAGCGGGGTTATGTACGACTTCTGGGAAAACTTCACCTCCCCGTACATGGGTTTTGCAATCATCGTGTGCTTCTGTCTGATCTTCAACGCGTTGGTCCTGCCGAACACCAGCAACTCTGATATGACCCTTCTCGAGGAAACGGATAAAGAAAAAGGCGACCCTGATTACCAGTATGATCAACTTAGCTGCGATTCAATTCAAGTTGATGTTGGGGAGGAGCTGGACAGTGATGTTTCAATAACTCAACTTTCAACTCAAGACGAACGTAAGGCCTGAACAACAGTGAAAAGAGCAAAAGAGAGATGGAAATTGCCGAAAATAGTCTAACTCCAGCGATAATCATTCCGATGATTGGCGACATTTGTTTTGACATGATGTACGGATACGCTGCTGCCCTGGTAGTTCCCTACCTTAACGGGATGTTCCAAATGCCCATCTCCCAGGCTAGTTTCTTCCTGGTCCTCCTGAACCTGTCCATGATGGCAGGTTCCTCCGCAGCTGGTGCCTTGCTCCAAGCTAAACTAATTAGTTCCCCCAAGATAGCAGCTCTAGCAGCAATGATTGGCTTCATTGGAGTCTGGTTTTTATTCCCACCAATAAGGATACCCGGCTTGTTTGAGCAGGTCCCGAATGTAGGATATCTGGCCGTCTGCTTCGTTGGATTCGCAAGCATGCTTGGATCTGTTTCTTCCTATAAAACTATGGAGACTATTCAAGCTAAAGTAACGCGACGGGCCCTAACTGTGAACGTCAGGTTTGGTTTTGATCATTATAAACTCTGCTATTCTAAAATGTTCTCTTAAAAACTTTTACTTTTTATCTATATCAAGTCCCAGTGCTCTGAGATCTCTGCAAATGATCGGTGGTCTGTTATCCCAACTCCCAGGTCAAGGATCACAACAGTTTGGTACACTGGAGTAGCTACAGCCATGTACGCGGGGTCCACAGTGGCAGTCTTAACTTCAACCTATCTTACCCTAGACCACGGCAACTGGTTCTTACTGAGTTGGATGATTATTGCCCTGAGTATTAATCTCTGCATTGTAATGTTCGTTGGGGGTGACGAGTCCAAGAGGTTATGTGTGATATAATCAGTTGACATCATGGCAATGAACGAGTAAGTTTATTGATTGAAGATTAAGGGAGTTGCAGTAATTTGGTTTCATAAGTCAATTTTCAACATACATGCCGCACCCTCTTTTTATCTAAAATTGTAGAATTAAAAGTTTCTGGATCTTAGTAATTGATTCGAGATACGATAGGGTAATCAATGAATTGGTCAAACTGTAACAACTGATTGTTCGATTGCCTAACAGCTGATTGTATGTTTTGCAGGACAGGTGGCAGTAAATAACTCAAAGTTATAGTTGGAACTGAATCAACGGAAATTCAAACGGCTACACTACATGTGCATCAACTTTGGCTGTCAACTTTTTACGGCAACCTACACGAAACGTTCAGCCTGTTGTGCGCAAAATCCTTTATTTGTTATTAATATTTGACTGCGAGTGCCGAGGATAAAACAAACAATATGTACCAGCTTAGTTTTTGCACGGCGAAGTTAAGAGGATCGTTTTTTAACCGGACATCTTCCTATGTTCAAAGGACAGGGAAAATATATTAAAGTACAATTGTTGAGCATGAAGTACATGAAAACACTAATTTGTTTCACGTCGCGATACTTATTTCTGTTAAACCATTTCGAGGCTATTCGCTGCGAGACTGCCCCACGCTTTGTACTCGGCATGGCTGGGGCCACAGCGTGAACTTGAAGCAAAGAACACTTTGGCATTAGTGTCGCAAATTCAAGTTTGCAGGGCTAGTATGCAAATATCGAAATTAATGGTGGCAGTTTGACGTTGTACATGAATTTTATTAAACTGAATACAATTGTGTTTTTCTTTTTCAAATTCAAAATGATTTTAACTATATCATTATCACCGCACACTCTTGATTGACGATATCAATCATTGTCAGCTTGGCGGGGCTTTCACCTAACATGTGCTTATCTCAATTGTAGATAAAGCATGATCTCGAGTTCTACAATCTTTTAATTTATTACGCTTTAATAATAAAATTTCTAGATCTATATCTTTGAGCGTTGAAGTTTTCGCAGAATGAGACATTACTAAAGAGCTCCTCGAAAACGGGATAAGTCGGAACAGTCAAACACTTCTCTGATGAAGATCTTAAGGACAATGTTGATATCGAGTTGTTCTATATGCATAAAGATCTTAGGGATCAATTAAAAAACGATGAGGCATTTAAGATTCATCTTATTTTCTTGATTATAGGAATGGCTCAGTACATACATCAATCTTTTTATTATTCGAACAAATTGAAACAATCAAAATGGCGGGCAAACGATCCGTATCATGATATGTACAAAACAATACTAATACTCCGTGCCAAATATCTATGACTATATTATATTTTAAACATGACGAAATTTACTGGGCGGCGCTCAGCCTGTCAGGGAAGAATTTTTACCCTACGTCATGGGGGTGATTCGGAATCACCGAGTTAGATTACTTTTAATTTTCATACCCTCAGGGCCTTTTCACAAGAATTTTCTTAAAATTTGGGCGAGCAATTTAGCGGGAGCGTATTCTTGCAGCATTTTTTTGGTTTTGCAGCTAATTTTCTGTACGAGTGGCATAAATAATATTTTATAAAATATTCTTGTAGCTCATTTTCAATACGATCGAGTGACCTGGTTGGTTCTCATTTGACCTTTCCACTTTATAATTTTATTTAGAAATATTAAATGTACTAATATTGGCTGTCTCGCACCACGAGACGCTCCGTAGAGCAAAAAGATTTTGCTGTAACAATAAACAGACTTATCAGACCTTATTTGATTTATTGCCTTTATTATTTTGATTCTTTTTGATTCTACCCGTCATTCGGCAAGCTTGCAATTGTAGATACTTAGATAAAGCGTTATCTCGAGTTTTACAACCTCTTAATTTATTACGCTTTAATATTTCTAAATCGATATCTTTGAGCGTTGTTGGGCTGAGCCTGAAGTCGACAGCTCCACAATCTATGAGTATGGATACGTTGAAGTGGTTCGAGGAGTTACTCTCCAAAACAAAAGGCGCAGACTTTGACCACAAAAAGACACCTGACACATTTGAAGTTATAGTGCACGAGGGAGATAAAGTTTTCGCAGAATGGGACATTACTAAAGAGCTCCTTGAAAACGGGATAAGTCGCAAACACTTCTCTGATGAAGATCTTAATGTTGATATCGAGTTGTTCTTTATGCATAAAGATCTTAGGGAACAGTTAAAAAACGATGAGGCATTTAAGATTCTTTGGGAAAAAGCAGCTAATGACTCCAAAACAGTTAACTTCAACGGGACCACTTCTGGATACACTATCATGGATGGAGGACATTATTCTGCTCCTTATGTGTACTACATACAGGGAGCTCTAACTCTACTGATCGGACTGGTAGGAATCGTAGTCAAACTGAGGGCTTCTTCTCAGAAAGGGGTCGTTAAAGTGACAAGGGTATCTTACTCCATCTGGTGCATCATCGTTGGCATATTGACCATAGTACCTGAGTATTCCCGTGACGTTTCTATTCAACCTACATTCCCGGCCAAACTGATTTTTGTCGTGATAAGGTGCCTTGTCACCGTGATTTTGAAGGTTTTTGTGATGAGTTTGAAGGTCTTCACTGTTATCATCTATTCCTTTCAAAACATTATGATCTACCGACCGTTCTACTTTCGAGAGCATAGGAAAGGCTTCAGTAGGTGGTTACTACGAATATCTCTGGGCCAAACAGTAGTTATGTTTGCAACTTTCATAGGTTGGTCCATGATTCTGCTGTTTGAATTCCAGGAGTCCTGTAATGGAATAGAGGCTCGGGCTGCCAGCTGGCAGTTGGCCCTGACATCACTCACTACAGTCGGCTACGTCGGCTCACTTTTCCTGAGTATGTTTTTCCTGATTGGCTATTGCAAGAACAACAACAAAGACGTGGGAAAGTCTGATACTACGAACATCAAGAAAACCATGATATCTTGCTCGATAGAAATCATTTTTGATTTGATTGTGCTGATCATTTATGTAGCAGCACCAATCGATTGCTTCTCATTTGATTTTGAGATATATGGAATCGAGCAAATCCACATTACCACTAAATGTGACCTTTTGATTAGGTTTATAGCACTTGATGTTGGGCTCTCTAAATGTGGCATAGCTATGCTCATTTTGCAACCAACTATCCAAGAGTTATTCTTTCTGATATCCGAGGTCGTAGATCACTACAAAAAGGAGGCATGAAGACCGTTGTTGAAGAAAGGACAAAAATGAACAATTGCTGAATTCAGAAGCTTAGTTTGTAGTTACAGACAACTTTAACTTATTATAGTTATACTTATAAATAATGGGACAGAATTTTGAAAAGAGAGCTTTTTGGTTTGTTAAGCTTTCTGCTGTGGGCTTCCTCCGACCGAAATCAAACTTCCAGCACCTCAATCGTGTCATATGCCATCCATAGTTGACTTACTAATTGGTTGCGGGTGAATAAATCAGTCAAAACTGTAAAGTTTGGGTCCTGGAAATTTCATCTTCAAAAACTGAAAATGGGACAGAATTTGGGACAGTATGATTTTTCTATTTTCTTCGGGATTTTGACTTCCAGTACCTTAATTTGGTTTCATACCATCATCAATTAACTGACTTATTGGTTTCTGGGCTAAAAGTTCATCAAATATATCAAATTTGTGTTCAGGAAATTTCATATTTGAAAATGGGACAGAATTTTGAAAAGAGAGCTTTTTGGTTTGTTAAGCTTTCTGCTGTGGACTTCCTCCGACCGAAATCAAACTTCCAGCACCTCAATCGTGTCATATGCCATCCATAGTTGACTTACTAATTGGTTGCAGGTGAATAAATCAGTCAAAACTGTAAAATTTGGGTCCTGGAAATTTCATCTTCAAAAACTGAAAATGGGACAGAATTTGGGACAGTATGATTTTTCAATTTTCTTCGGGATTTTGACTTCCAGTACCTTAATTTGGTTTCATACCATCATCAATTAACTGACTAATTGGTTTCTGGGCTAAAAGTTCATCCAATCTATCAAATTTGTGTTCAGGAAATTTCATATTTGAAAATGGGACAGAATTTTGAAAAGAGAGCTTTTTGGTTTGTTAAGCTTTCTGCTGTGGGCTTCCTCCGACCGAAATCAAACTTCCAGCACCTCAATCGTGTCATATGCCATCCATAGTTGACTTACTAATTGGTTGCGGGTGAATAAATCAGTCAAAACTGTAAAATTTGGGTCCTGGAAATTTCATCTTCAAAAACTGAAAATGGGACAGAATTTGGGACAGTATGATTTTTTCATTTTTATTCGGGATTTTGAGTTTCAATTCTATGCTATATTAAACTTTAAATGCTTTAACATCCTTATTCTTATGTATAATGATCGTTCACATTTAATGTAGGCATTATTACGTCATTTGGAGGTTGTATGTCATTTGGAGGTTGTACGACCTAAAATGTACGTACCCCATATCCGATGTTTATCACAAAAGTTTTCAAAAATAAAATGTTTTTAACAGTATACAGATAATTTCAGCAATGGTAATTGTCTAGCTATAAGGATAGACACCCTCGAAAAATGAATAAACCAATGCAATAGATTAAATGTTATAAAATTAAAAGTTACAAGAGTTTTTAAATGATCAGACTGAATCATTACCCATGGACGTTGGAGTATTAACGATAGAGCCAGCTATCGTATTAATACTGGTTGAACTTGAATTACAGATGAAAACCATGATCAAGGACTGTCCTCAATCCTCGAGACTCATGCAGAGTTACATTTACAGGCATCAATACTTGGGGTACAGTTGTCAAGGTTTACATGTGGCAGAATATATTCGTATGGATTCAATCCATTATTGATTATAACATTGACATCACATCCTGTTGACCGTGATGGTCTTACTTATGGTCTACCAGTTAAAGAACCATTTTAATTCCACATGATGAATCCAAATTTAGAATTAAGGATCATATGCATGAAGTAACCCGTTAAACCTTCTTTGAATTCAGTGGTTAATATATGCGTGCACATTACGACAGTTAATATTAGATTTTTATTGCTTTGTTGATGTTTTAGTTTTGTGTTTAACTAGCATGAATTTCTCATCCGATATTACTGAGTTTAATAAATGAGGCTCGAGTTCGATCGACTTTAAAGTTGTAATGAAATATTTAACTATCCTTTCAACCTGGTTAGCAATTTCACTACCAATCATTTAATTGGTTTCAATCTTGTCCGAATGTTTATCGCATTTAAGCTAAACTTCTCTCTGCCTTTTCGATTAATGGCTACAGGCAGAAATTATGTGATGTCACAAATCGCACTTGAGTCTTTATTTTTAAGAATTATCGAATATTTCGATCTCGAAATATTCACATAATACGTAATCACTGAAAGGTTCGGGGGAGAGGGTTTCTAAATCATTACGCAAGTCGCAAGTGTAATATGAACACATTACAGAATAGCTATGTGTAAAACTAATTACGGAGATTGGAGGGGGGTTGTTAAAAATTTGCCAAAAAGTGATTACGTAATATGTGAACGACCCCTTGATGTTGTTATTGTAATTTGCACTAAATGTCACCAATATAACGCTCTACTCCCAGCCCCCACTATGTATGGGGCCAGTAATGTGAGTATAGATGTGAACGGAGCCAGAAACAGAGCGATATCAGGTGCCTCATCTCTCAGCAACTTTTCGAGTATTAGCGGAGTTGGAGGATCTTACACCACCGGAGCAGCAGCCGCTGGAGGCGCTAATGTGATTGGTTTAGCCGCAGGGGGCGCTAATGTGATGAGTGTTCCTGGGTTAGCAGCAAGAGGCGCTAATGTGATCAGTGTTCCTGGAGCAGTAGCAGGGGGCTATAATCTCTCTAATGTAGGCCTCACTGCTCAGCAGCCTGCAGTGAGTGTGTCTTACAATGGTCAACAGCCTGCAGCCAATGTGGCCTACAGTATTCAGCAACCAGCTGCTGTTTCGTACGGCGTTCAGCAACCGGCTGCTGTTTCGTACGGCGTTCAGCCTGCAGGTGCAGTTTCTTACGGAGTCCAGCAATCCGCAGTTTCCTACAGTATAAGTCAAGCACCAGCGGGAAGAGTGTCGGTAACTAGCTTAGGATCGGCTACTGTCCCTTCTCCAGCAGGTTCAGCCACTTCTCCCAGTGTTCAAGTGATCCAAGTGCCAGGTGCTGTGAATTATCGTCACCATCACACACATCATAATCATCATGGGGCACCAGGACAACCAGGTTCAGCAGGACAACCAGGTGCACCATCAGGCACCAGGACAACCTGGCGTACCAGGACAACCTGGCGCACCATCAGGGTGTCATGGAGCAACTGGACAACCAGGTGCACCAGGACAACCAGGTTCAGCCGGACAACCAGGCGCACCAGGACAACCAGGCGTACCAGGACAACCAGCCGCACCATCAGGCTGTCATGGAGCAGCTGGACAACCAGGTTCAGCAGGACAACCAGGTTCAGCCGGACAACCAGGCGCACCAGGACAACCAGGCGTACCAGGACAACCAGGCGCACCATCAGGCTGTCATGGGGCAGCTGGACAACCAGGTGCACCAGGACAACCAGGTTCAGCAGGACAACCAGGTTCAGCCGGACAACCAGGCGCACCATCAGGCTGTCATGGGGCAGCCGGACAACCAGGTGCACCAGGACAACCAGGTGCACCAGGACAACCAGGTGCACCAGGACAACCAGGTGCACCAGGACAACCGGGCGCACCATCAGGCTGTTACCCAGTAGGTCCGGGTGCTCCCGGTGGAGCAGGACAACCAGGCGCACCAGGACAACCAGGTTCAGCAGGACAACCAGGTTCAGCAGGACAACCAGGCGCACCAAGACAACCAGGCGCACCATCGGGCTGTTACCCAGTAGGTCCGGGTGCTCCCGGTGGAGCAGGGCAACCAGGTGCACCGGGACAACCAGGTGCACCAGGGCAACCAGGTGCACCAGGACAACCAGGTGCACCATCAGGCTGTTACCCAGTAGGTCCGGGTGCTACCGGTGCACCAGGACAACCAGGTGCACCGGGACAACCAGGCGCACCAGGGAAACCAGGTGCACCAGGACAATCAGGTGCACCATCAGGCTGTTACCCAGTAGGTCCGGGTGCTCCCGGTGGAGCAGGAAAACCAGGTGCACCAGGACAACCAGGTGCACCAGGGCAACCGGGTGCACCAGGACAACCAGGACAACCAGGTGCACCATCAGGCTGTTACCCAGTAGGTCCGGGTGCTCCCGGTGGAGCAGGGCAACCAGGTGCACCGGGACAACCAGGGGCACCAGGACAACCAGGTGGTCCGGGAGGTCCAAGAGGACCCGGTGGTCCCGGCGGAGTCGGAGGTCCAACAGGAACTAGCGGGAGGCCATGTCCAGGATATTCCATTGTTAAAGTCCCTTGCAATCATTGTGGCAAACCAGGTGGTCGTGGTGGACCTGGCGGTCGAGGAGGACCAGGTGGTCGAGGAGGACCTGGGGGTCCAGGAGGAGATCCATACGGTCCTGGGGGACTTTATGATCCTAATGATCCAAAGAAACCATATAACCCATACGATCCAAACGATTTAAATAATCCATTCAGACCAGGGGGACCATTGGATCCAAATGATCCCAACAAACCTTATGACCCTTATGATATGGATGACCCACTCAATCCATTCCGACCTGGTGCTCCATTGGACCCAAATAATCCTAATCGTCCGTACGACCCTCATAACCTCGACGACTGCAGGAATCCTTACAGACCTGGTGGTCCACTTGATCCAAACGATCCTAACCGACCTTATGATCCCTTCAATCCACACGACAAAAACAACCCATTCAGACCAGGAGGACCGTTGGATCCAAACAATCCCAACATACCTTATGATCCAAAAGATCCCAATGACCCCAGAAATCCGTTCCGACCAGGAGGGCCGCTTGATCCACTCAATGACCCGAATGGTAATCCAAATGCACCTGGTAGTAAAAGACCGAGTCGACCAAAAGTTCCAATTAATCATCCTCACGGTTATTGTCCTCGTTGTGGATGTGGAGGTCCAAGACCAAATAATAAAAAGCCCAGACGTTGCCCAGATGGCAGTGGACCTGGAGGACCAGGTGGGCCAGGAGGTCCAGGTGGGCCTGGTGGTCCAGGTGGGCCTGGCGGTCCAGGTGGTCCAAACGGACCAAATGATCCAAACAATAAAAAGCCCAGACGTTGCCCAGATGGGAGTGGACCCAGTGGACCCAGAGGACCTGGCGGTCCAGGTGGGCCCGGAGGTCCAGGTGGGCCCGGAGGTCCAGGTGGGCCTGGCGGCCCAAACGGACCAGGAGGACCAGACGGATCTGGTAATCCAAAACGACCAGGGTGTTCATTGCACTGCCCATTACACTGTCCTGAAGGTCCTGTTGGGCCCGGGGGTTCCAGTGGCAACAGTAGTCCTGAAAGGCCATCAGGTCCCGGAAGAAATCCGTGCGGAGCAAAGAATCCTGATAACTGTCCTCTCCACGGAGGATCTGGCGGGCCCAAAGACCCAAGGAATCCGAAAAGATCCGGGGGTCCCAAAAAACCAAAGGATGAGAAAGGACCTGGGGGTCCCAAAGACCCAAGGGATCCAAAAGGACCCGGTGGTCCCAAAAAGCCAAAGGATCCCAAAGGACCTGCAAGTTCAAATGGATCAGAAGGAAAGGATAATCCAATTGAAGAGTGCCCTCACTGTGGTCTAGGCTTACCTGGCTCTCCAGAAGATGATGGTGATGATGATGACAATGGAGGATGCTGTGGTCCCAATGGGTGCTGTGGTCCATGTTGTGGACCTAATGGTTGTTGCCCAGGTGGATGTTGCGGACTTTGCGGTCCTGATGCATGCTGTGGAAAATGCTGTGGGCCTGATGGTTGCTGTGGAAAGTGCTGCCCTAAACTTTGTGGACCAGATGGGTGTTGTGGAGATTGTTGCGGACCAGACGGGTGTTTTGGATGCTTTGGACCGAAAAAGCCGAAGAACGGTAAGAAGAAACCAAAGAAAGGAAAGAAACCAAAGAAGGGAAAGAAAGGAGACCCTGATACAAGCGATGACGACACTTCCTCCGGACTATCCAGCATACTTGGCTCTACAAACTCTTCTGCAACTTCAAAAACATCAGGAACTGGGCTAACTAGTACAACAGATTCAGGGAGAAATCCAAAAGATGGCGACAATGAATCATCTCCTTCAAGTTCTGACGATTCTGATGTTGGATGCTGCGGAAAGAAAAAACCGAAGAAAGGAAAGCCTAAGACGCCATCAGACGGAGACGATCCAAACTCAGGCGGACCAAAAGGTCCTGGTGGTCCAAGCGGACCAAATGATCCAAACGGACCAAATAATAGAAAGCCCAGACGTTGCCCAGATGGCAGTGGACCCGGAGGACCTGGCGGTCCAGGAGGTCCAGGAGGTCCAGGTGGGCCTGGCGGTCCAGGAGGTCCAGGAGGCAAAAGACCAAAATGCCCCATTTGTGGTCGTCGGCATGGTCCAGTAGGTCCAGGTGGTGATCCATTCGGTCCTGGGGGACTTTATGACCCTAATGATCCGAAGAAACCATATAACCCGTACGATCCAACTAATCCAAACAATCCATTTAGACCAGGGGGACCATTGGATCCAAATAATCCCAACAAGCCTTATAACCCTTATGATGTGGATGACCCAAACAATCCCTTCCGACCAGGTGGTCCGTTGGACCCAAATAATCCTGATCGTCCGTACGACCCGGCCAATCCTAATGATCCGAACAATCCATTCAGACCTGGGGGTCCTTTGGATCCGAACAACCCTAATGTACCATACGACCCTCACAACCCAGACGACTGCAGGAATCCTTACAGACCTGGTGGTCCACTTGACCCAAACAACCCTAACCGACCTTATGATCCCTTCAATCCACACGACCAAAACAACCCATTCAGACCAGGCGGACCGTTGGATCCAAACAATCCCAACATACCTTATGATCCAAAAGATCCCAATGACCCCAGAAATCCTTTCCGACCAGGAGGTCCACTTGATCCAAATAGCCCAAATCGACCGTACGACCCTAACAATCCAAACGATGCAAGAAATCCGTTCCGTCCGGGAGGACCTCTTGATCCTAATGGACCAAAAGACGGAGGTGCTTGCCCACGATGTGGATCACCCGATGATGGTGAACCGATTTCAAAAACAAGTGGATCCAGTGGATCATCAGGACCAAGCACAACATCAGGACCAAGCACTACATCAGGTACGAGTGTTTCCAGTGATCCCTCCGATGCAACGGCGCCGGTCGGGTGCTGTGGAAAAAAGAAACCTAAAAAAGGTCCAAATGATAAAAAACCTAAAAACGGAGGACCAAAGTCAGGAGATGACCCTAAGGATTCTGACCCGAATGGCAAGAAACCCAAGAAAAGGAGTCCAAACTCCGGAGATAATTCGAATGGTTCCAATCCAACTGACTCTGACCCAGATAGTGATGGTACATGTTGCTGTTGTATAAAGCCTAAGAAACCCAAAAACAGTGACTCAAATCCAGGTAACCCATCAGATGGTGGTCCAAAAGGACCAGGTGGAAGAAGACCAAGCGGACAGAGTAGTGAACCTTCTTCAAATGGTTCCAATGATGGAGGCTGCTGTGGGCCTTCTAAAAAACCAGGTAAACGTGGCAAAAAGTCACCAAATGGCAAGTGTAGAACGTGCAAAAAGCCAATCCGACCTGAAGATGATCCATTCGGGCCTTACAGTCCTTATGGACCGGGAAGCAGTCCTTTCTATCCCGGAGGACCAGGTGGACCAGGTGGCCCAGGAGGGCCTGGTGGTCCAGGAGGCCCTGGATTCTGTCCCCTTCATGGAGGTCCCGGAGGCCCAAGTGGACCTGGGGGAGACGGAGGCGATGGTGGACCAGGTGGTCCAGGAGGTCCAGGATTCTATCCCCTTCAGAGAGGTCCCGGAGGCCCAAGTGGTCCTGGAGGAGATGGTGGCCCTGGAGGTGATGGTGGACCAGGAGGTTGTCCACTTCATGGAGGTCCCGGAGGCCCAAGTGGGCCGGGCGGTCCAGGTGGACCTGGAGGCCCAAGTGGGCCGGGCGGTCCGGGTGGACCTGGAGGCCCAAGTGGGCCGGGCGGTCCAGGTGGACCTGGAGGCCCAGGAGGTGATGGAGGACCAGGAGGTCCAGGTGGAGACGGCCCCGGAGGATTCCCATGTGGAGCACAAACTCCTAACAACTGTCCTGTCCATAAAGGATCTGGCGGCCCAGGAGGCCCGAATGGTTCCGGCGGACCAGGAGGCAATGGAGGACCAAGCGGGAACGGAGGTGACGGTGGTAGCGGAGGCCCGGGAGGTAATGGCGGACCAGGAGGAAACGGAGGTGGAGGAGGAGGACCAGGAGGAAACGGAGGTGGAGGAGGCGGAGGTGGAGGCGGAGGAACAGGAGGGTGCACCTGCTACTACTATCGCCCTTGCTATTCAGCAGGATCAGGAGCAGGCAGCACTCTTGGAAGAGCCAGCACCTACGGATACAGCTACTGTCCCTACCGCTACAACTACCCAACTTATAGATCGTGCCCTTATCGATACACTTACTAAATCAGAGGGAATGTCGAACTCTTGTTGGGACAGGTTTTTAATGTTACAGGAGACTAAGAGGCGATATATGGTCTTTGGGTTTATTAACTCAGTACAACGCTGATTTCAAAATAAGAAATTCTGTTGATTAAGTATTGCAAAAGTATGTTATTTTCCATTATCAAGATAAATGTTGTGGGTATTTACAAATTCTTGTATACGGTACTTCACTTGAACTATAATTATTTTTTCCATGACTATTCAAGTTTTGGCACATTTTTTGGCTTTATTGAATGTTGATCTAATTGTGCGAATAATTTAACTTGGTACAGTGAAACCTCCGTTTAAATTCGATAAAATAATTGGAAATGAGAATTGAGAACTTAACAATAAACATCCGGCGCCATTAAAAAATGCAGCTTATTCCGGCACCCACAAAAACTTTAAAGCAAAATTCCGGCACTTGATCCGATTTCCTGAACAACAGCTGGACCGGTATTAATTTCGTCAGATATTTAATGGTCCATAGTTTGGTGTATACTAATCATATATAATAAATTAGTCATAAATAAAATTGTGCCTCTTAGTTAGTTTCTCTCCGTCAGTCACAGAATTTATAATTTAAAGCGAAAAGAAAGAAACTTAATTAAAGGCATCCTACCCAAAAAACAGCGGTTAAACTCATAAACCATAATATTTAAAAACATCTTAATCAAAATTCCATCTCGGGATAACTATCACCGGGCGATAACTTTAGCGACCTTCCTGTACTCCATGGTGTTAGTCTGTGGACACTTCATCTCACACCAACTGACCGGCACCATGCTCACCCCCTCGCTGCTCTGAGAGAACACCACCCCTAACTCATTCTCCGCCGTGGAGAGGAAGTAGGAAGCAGCGTCTCCGATAGAGATAACCCGAGCTAGCACCAGATCGCCGGGTCTGTAGCACTTGTAGACTATTACTGAGTCCTTTTCTTTTGCTCGTATATCCTCCTTTTTAATAATACCTGAAGTTAGATCCAGGTAAGAGGATAATGGCGGATTAAAGAAAGATTTTTGGGCGATTATGTAGATTATTATTCAATTATGTACATTAGGTTTCCTTTAAGACCGTGAGAAACAAAGGAGATATAATAAAGAAATTTAGAGGTTGAATACATTGGCCACTTATTTGTAAACGAGCTCATTGATTGGTCCTCAACGTCAAAGGTATATGCTTGTAAAGGCACATTTTTAAATACTCATCGTTATGATCACTTGCACTTCCTTGCAGTTTACTGACTCGATAAGTTGAAATTAGTCTTGCCGGCCAAGTGCCAGTCTTTTCCAGTGCCAAGATGGGGGATCACATCCAACAAGGACATGGAGACATTTTAAGTGCAGGTAATTCTACGAGGTCACCATAATATCCTGCTTTATAAAGAGGGCTAACAATTCAGATTTCCGCACAACATGATGATTTTATAACCACTAAGCAAGCAATTATACTAATATACAGTCTACTTCTATCCTACCGAGTACTGAACTCAAGCGAAATATGATCTACGCGCGTGAACCATGTTTCATACGAAACAAATCACAAAGCTATGAGTCTACCTCGGCGTTTAGGCCTCACAAAACGCTTCTTTGGGAGTTGTCTAAATATATCCCAACAGTATCTAACTGTCAATCATAATCGTTTCTTTACTGTTTCCGCTCATAGTGCTTTGGTAGGTGGAAAATAGCTAAATACCTTATATTTCATCATATTGTGGAAATATTCCAACCCGGTACTGCCCTGGTACTGATTTGTGTGCTGAGTAGCTTGTTGTGAATTGTTTGCGGAGTACTTTGTGTCAATGTCTGATCTGAAACTGACCCCAGAGGAGATGGAGCAGATGGAGGGGTTCTTCATGCAGTTTGATCAGAACAACAACGGAATGTTGGGTCCGGATGAGTTGGAGAGGATGTTTGCTAATTTTAATGTGAACACCAATAAGGATGATCTGCAAGTGTTTTTTGAGAAGGTTGATACTGATCAAGACGGTGAGTTTTGTAGAAGTTTTACATTATTTAGGATTATCCCCTCAGTTTAAACATGTATTTTCATTTAGTGGTGATCATGATTGAGTGGTTTGTCATTTTTCACCTTTTAGCTGCCCAAACTTGTTACTTGTCCACCTCGGAAATTTAAATATATTTTAAACCCCGAATTCTACAGACGTTTAATATACAATATCTGTAAAGGGACGGTGGATTTCGACGAGTTGTTGACGTATTTAGAGGAGATATTGGCGCATTTGTTCACGGGGGATGATATCTTGGATGCCTTTAATATGATCGACGCTGATGATAATGGCGAGGTAACCAACTTATATAAATCAGCAGGACTTATTTTCGTGGCTTCTTAAAAGCTAATTTGGAGACAATCGTATTTCCTCTTATAATTTGCGACAATAGCGAACTGTAAGCCGAAGTTTTAGTGATCTTGCATAATAGAATACGTTTTTTTAATAATCTTCAGTAATCTCACTAACTCTCACAATTGTTTAACTTGTTGCGAAAATAACGAGATTATATCCACCATTTAAATTTGCGAGAATTGTCGTTGAAATTCATGATTGTTACTAAAGATACTCAGTGATGAAAATTACGTACGGTAACATTTTAATTCTACTACGCTATTATTAAAACACATTCACCACTGAGTCTATCCGATCAGGTGAGCTACGAAGAGATGGCGGAGGCGTTACAGCAAGCTGATGTGGGGATACCCTCTACTGACATTGTTAGTCTGTTACACAGCGAGGACTTAACCGGCGGAGGCAAGATCAGTTTTACCGACTTTAGAGCTATCACACTTGGACATCAGTCTGTTTAAAAAATTAAACATTTTGCATTAGCAGCTAACCTCTGAAATGTTGTGGAAGTCTTTTCCCTTGCACTGAGAGGATGAGAACTTTAACTTGGCGCGGGTTGACGGATACAACCTTGCATGTGATAATATCGTTAGATTTGGGTAGAGCCGTCAAGGTGATGTCAGAGTTTACTCGTTCTACGCTGATCTCCTTCAATTCACCTTTCTGTTCTGTTTTCAGAAAACCTGAATCAAGTGTTGCTGCTTAGATTTTAGCATAATGAGCGGGAGAAACCCTGTTACTAATTGAAGCGGTCGGGGTTTATTTTGGAATTCTATTGCCTATTTTATTTCTCTAGGATATTTATTTTCTCTAGGATATTATTATTTTATTTCTCTAGGATATTAATTTTTGATGCATGTCATGACTCATGATTGATCTTATTATTGTTTTTATTTGGTGTAATTTAAAGAAAAACGGAGTTTAAATAATATTCTGAAGTCAATGCGACAATTCTGTGACGAATTTCTGAAAGGATTTTGTTTTTAATTAAAATTCGTACCGAGTAGAGTTGAGTACACGATGCCCTGGTGAACGTGCAGTCCTCCTCCTAAGACACAGTTCTCATCGTATTTACATATCTGATCTCCTGGAACGACCTTTTTAGGCGCTGTCACCATCTTCTAAAATAAGTAGTGGCCATAAGTCTTTAAAATGGAGATAGATTTGCTAGAGATAGGATACAAAATGCATAAAATTTAAATTGTCGTTCGAGTTTTCATACAATTGAAGAAAAACCGCATATTCAAATATTCAATTTCGTGAACGTCGGTTTAAGTATATTACTTAAATATTTTTCAAAGGAAAACTATTGTTTCGGACACGATTTTAGTCTGTACAAAAATACTAACGCAAATAAATATCGCAGCAGCTTCATAAATAAATCGTCCAGTAGTGTCCAATTATCTTGTAAGGTTATTGACTGATAACACAATTTAAAATACTAATTGCGGCCATTAACTAATTGGCTGTGATTTTAATTCAGATGTTTCGTTAAAAAATCGTCTGATTCTCCTTTAAATAGTATGATTAAGAAAAGCTAATTGCAATAAGATGGAACTCTAGTCTTCGTAAAGATGTTTGTTTTTGAGGAGGAATGCTGCGAGATACTCGATAGGGTTTGGTGGCCTGAAAAATCGTTTATTAGAATTCACAATCATTTTGTGCCTATTGGAAATAAGACAGGTTCGCCGATCGAAAAAGTTAGATATTAAGTAATTGTATCCGGTAGCATAATGACAGTTTTAAGACGATAAACGAATATTTAAAAAGAATATATCCAACCTTTCTTTGGCAAGAACACCAAGTCCCTGCAGAAGGATAGGGACGACAGTTTGATCGAGGTAAGTTCTGGTTGGCATAGCCTGGAGTTCGGCTTTATCTTTGGAGCGTTTGGCTGCCTCTGCTTCCCCAGCAGCTAGCTTCTGTAGAAAGAGTATAATGTTAGTGATAACATTATGAAATTATCGAGATGAGGAAGTGGCATTTAATAGGCATGGCTATTTAGTATTGAAAGGGTGACATCTTTACTCCACTGGAAAGGAATTCTCATTCAAGACGCAACTCGCAGATGGTAATTTAAGTTCAGCTTCTGCATTTTGAGATATAGCATCGCATGGTGGGCGGGGTTGCTGTGATATGGCCCTAAGGGTTGTTTGTTGCTCATTTTAGGGCGTGAGACCTATCTGGATAGTTTTTTGTTTTGTTACCACGAGATTGGAAGTTTTACCGCGACGCGCAAGCGAAATGACAAAATAGTTCTTCTCAACACACTAAAATAGTTCGGCGCTGCGCGTTACATAAAGTATCACCTTAGTAACGTTCACCGTCATGCAGGTACGTGCTGGATGAACATCAATACAAGTTAACAATGATACAGTATAAATCAATAAAACTAAGTGGAGTCAACTTACATTAGCAGCGTCGATGGATAAGGATGCCATGTTCTTCCTATAATGATCTTTGGTTAAATATAAACAGTCTCAAGTCTCATGGGATCAAGAAGGTTTTGTGAGGAATCAGGAAGGGTACACTGTACAGCCTTTAATTAAATAATAGCAAAAAGAGGCCGATGAAAACGCTGTGGTCTAAAATAAAAGAGGTAACGGCTCAAATAATAATACCCACAGTAATAATTTAGTCAGAAATTGTCGGTCACAAGGTCAGAAAAAGATAAAACTTAAAAACTCGCTCAAATATTTCATGATCTCTTCTTCTTTTTCCTATTTCCCGTTCGTTTCGTCCTCTCGTTAGGATTTGAGCGTCTCCCCGCACTTTGTTTGAATTGGAAGGCTTTAGAATCAACATTTGTCGTCCCGAACGGACTGCCCGACTTAACAAAATCCCCGCTCATCACATCAACAGAGCTCTTAAAATTACTCGCCATTTTGTGAACTTTATCAGGTTGATCTGGTGTTATCCACGGACTGTTAGCCGCCTGTCTTCCCCCCTGAGGTTTAGGAAGAGAGAACCTCACACCTCGCCCTGTCCTGGGTTTCCTGCTCAATCTCTGATACCACGTGATACCATCCTCGTCTACTGTTACTGCTACTTTCTCTAGAGTTTTGTTACCGCACTTAGTACAGAACACATTGCTGCAGTCTTGAACGACTGTGAAGCAAGCTGTACATTTGAGGACGTATATTTTAGCGTATTTAATAAGCATGCCATCCACACTGACTACATGTAATCCGATCTGAAGGAGCAAGTTCTGCATTGCAAAGTCAGTGGTGGCACATCCCACTTTTATGGAGAGGAGAGATTCTGTTTTCTTCTCTGATATGTTGGAGGGTGTTATCCAGTCGTCATCGTTATCGTCAAATTCGTATTCTTCATCTTCTAATTCTATGTCATCATCTGAATTAAAGACAAAGTTATTTTCTGGCTACAGGTACACTACGTACAGAGAGTTTGAACAAATTAATTCGTACCAAGAACTAAGAAACCTAATAATGAAACATAAAATGGATCTTTTATCTTTGAAAAGTTGAATAATCAATACCTGCAGATACCAGTATATCGTCAGGTAAAATAAACTCTTCCATCTCCCCATCATCAGCCTCATTCTTCTTTTTAGGGACAGTCGTCCAGCCCTCATCCAGCTCGCACTGGTTCAGACAATCAGTAAGATCACCCTCGACAGAATCACCCTCGACAGAATCGTCCTCGATTATAGGTTCAATTGTGTCCGGTTTAGCTGTTGTGCTGATGGAAGTAGTGCGGGAGGAGGTTGAACTGGCCATGGATTTTGGGACGTAGAAACCTGAACAAATTGAGTTTGTTTCAGGGCATAATTACCGGGAATAATTGAGAAATTGTGTACTTAATATGATCTGTAAATAGAGTATATAGCTGGTACGTATTATATAATATTTTAGATAACAAAAATTGAAACGATATTTTTACGGAGAAATAGAAAATATTGGCTCTTACCAGCTAAGTTGGTTATTTTATCATCTCCAAACCCTTCGTTAACCTTGATGGTAGTAACAGGACTTTTCCTCAGATGCTCTGTTCCGTTTAAACTACTCTCCAAATCATACGTAAGAGCGACCACTGAAAATAGTTACTTTGTTTTGATTAAACAATTTAACTAAAATTTGTTAATTTGTTAATCAAACAGATTGGTTGATTTTATGTTGGCAGTTAAAGTATTAAAAAATGCAGAATGCGCTTCATTTCATTAAAGGCTTGTCTTAATGAGCGTATATACACAATAATTACCAGCTAAATCAGTGTTAGATAAACTCCGTACGTCCCCTGTTTGTTTAGCAAAATCCAACACAAATTTCAGACTTTTATCAGAAGGTCGTTGTTCTTCTATCTCCATTGGAAGCAATTCTAGTCTGCGAGAGAGAGTGGAATGTATAAGATCAAGATATATTTTTGGAAAATCATTCTACTGAAAGAGTGGTGTGAGCAGTGTGAAAAGTGAAAAGTGTGAGCAGTCAGTGTGAAAAGTTTGAGCAGTGAGCAGTCAGATAAATTGCTGATAAACATTAAAATTTAACACCAGATATTTCTAGCAGTGTGTAGTAACAACTAACTTCTGTCTGGTGAAAGCATCTTTGACTTCCTGCAGCACTCCCCGAGTCGTAACTAATCTCTGAGCTAATTTATCAAACTTTATGTTGCGAATAAGAGGCCCAGTGTCTACGACCAGATGGTCGAGAAGTGTATCACTTCCTAACATCAAGCTAGTACTGGGGGGAGTTAGTTATTATCACTTCCTAACATCTAGCTAGTACTGAAGGGAGTTAGTTACTTTGACGTAGCAGTTATTTATAGGGGGGGTGACATGTCTCCAATGTCTCCAATGTCTTTTGTCTTTTTTGAAAAGATAGGGTGCAGAGACATGTCCTGGAGACATTGGAGACATTGGAGACACAGCTTTTGGAGACATTGGAGACATTGGGGACATTGGAGACATTGGAGACAAAGCTTTTGGAGACATTGGAGACATTGGAGACACTGGAGACGTAGATGTATGATTGGAGAAGGAGGAGGATCTAGGAGGAGGATGACCCAGGAGGAGGACTCAGGAGGAGAAGGAGGAGGATGAGGACTCAGGAAGAGGACTGAGGAGGACTGAGAAGGAGGAGGACTGAGGACTACTGAGGAGGATGGCTGAGGAGGATGGCTGAGGAGGATGACTGAGAGGGAGGAGGAGGAGGAGGAAGAGGAAAAGGACTGAGGAGGAGGAGTAGGACTGAGGAGGAGAAGGTGGAGGACCTAGGAGGAGGACCCAGAAGGAGGACTCACGAGGAGGAGGAGGAGAACTCAGGAAAAGGACTGAGAAGGAGGAGGACTCAGGAGTACTGAAGAGGATGACTGAGGAGGAGGAGGAGGAGGAGAAGGACTGAGGAGGAGAAGGAGAAGGTGGAGGAACTAGGAGGAGGATGAACCAGGAGGAGGACTCAGGAGGAAAAGAGGAGGAAGACTCAGGAGGAGGACTTAGGAGGAATGAGAAGGAGGAGGACTGAGGAGAACTGAGGAGGAGGAGGAGGACTGAATAGGAGGAGGGGGACTGGGGAGGACTGAGGAGGAGGAGGACTGACGAGAAGGATGAGGAGGAGGACTGAGGACTGAGGACTGAGGACTGAGGAGGAAGAGGAGGAGGATGAAGAGGAGGAAGAGGACCCAGGAAGAGGAGGACTGAAGAGGACGATGAGGATGAGGACTGAGGAGGAGGAGGAGGACTGAGGAGGATGGCTGAGGAGGATGACTGAGAGGGAGGAGGAGGAGGACTGAGGAGGAGGAGGAGAAGGACTGAGGAGGAGAAGGAGGAGGACCTAGGAGGAGAAGGACCCAGGAGGAGGACTCAGGAGGAGGACTCAGGAGAAGGACTCAGGAAAACTGAAGAGTGAATAGGAGGAGGAGGGGGAGGACCTAGGAGGAGGAGGACCGAGAAGGAGGACTGAGGAGGAGGAGGAGGAGGAGAACTCAGGAAGAGGACTGAGGAGGACTGAGAAGGAGGAGGACTGAGAAGGAGGAGGACTGAGGAGTACTGAAGAGGATGATTGAGGAGGAGAGGAGGAGAAGGACTGAGGAGGAGAAGGAGAAGGTGGAGGAACTAGGAGGAGGATGAACCAGGAGGAGGACTCAGGAGGAAGAGGGGAGGACTCAGGAGGAGGACTTAGGAGGAATGAGAAGGAGGAGGACTGAGGAGAACTGAGGAGGAGGAGGAGGACTGAATAGGAGGAGGAGGGGGACTGGGGAGGACTGAGGAGGAGGAGGACTGACGAGAAGGATGAGGAGGAGGACTGAGGAGGAAGAGGAGGATGAAGAGGAGGAAGAGGACCCAGGAGGAGGAGGACTGAAGAGGACGATGAGGATGAGGACTGAGGAGGAGGAGGACTGAGGAGGATGGCTGAGGAGGATGACTGAGAGGGAGGAGGAGGAGGACTGAGGAGGAGGAGGAGAAGGACTGAGGAGGAGAAGGAGGAGGACCTAGGAGGAGGAGGACCCAGGAGGAGGACTCAGGAGGAGGACTCAGGAGAAGGACTCAGGAAAACTGAGGAGTGAATAGGAGGAGGAGGGGGAGGACCTAGGAGGAGGAGGACCCAGAAGGAGGACTGAGGAGGAGGAGAACTCAGGAAGAGGACTGAGGAGGACTGAGAAGGAGGAGGACTGAGGAGTACTGAAGAGGATGACTGAGGAGGAGGAGGAGGAGAATGACTGAGGAGGAGAAGGAGAAGGTGGAGGAACTAGGAGGAGGATGAACCAGGAGGAGGACTCAGGAGGAAGAGGGGGAGGACTCAGGAGGAGGACTTAGGAGGAATGAGCAGGAGGAGGACTGAGGAGAACTGAGGAGGAGGAGGAGGAGGACTGAATAGGAGGAGGAGGACTGACGAGAAGGATGAGGAGGAGGACTGAGGACTGAGGAGGAAGAGGAGGAGAATGAAGAGGAGGAAGAGGACCCAGGAGGAGAAGGATTGAAGAGGAGGATGAGGATGAGGACTGAGGAGGAGGAGAAGGACTGAGGAGGACTGAGGAGGATGGCTGAGGAGGACCCAGGAGGAGGACTCAGGAGGAGGACTCAGGAGGAGGAGGAGGACTCAGGAGGAAGACTCAGGAAAACTGAGGAGGAGGAGGAGGAGTGAATGGGAGGAGGAGGGGGACTGGGGAGGACTGAGGAAGAGGAGGACTAAGGAGAAGGATGAGGAGGAGGACTGAGGAGGAGGATGAGGACTGAGGAGGAGGACTGAGGAGTACTGATGAGGATGGCTGAGGAGGACGGCTGAGGAGGATGGCTGAGGAGGATGACTGAGGAGGATGACTGAGAGGGAGGAGGAGGAGGAGGAGAAGGACTGAGGAGGAGGAGGAGGAGGAGAAGGAGGAGGACCTAGGAGGAGGAGGACTCAGGAAGAGGAGGACTCAGGAGGAGGACTCAGGAAGAGGACTCAGGAGGAGGACTGAGAAGGAGGAGGACTGAGGAGAACTGAGGAGGAGGAGGATGAGGACTGAATAGGAGGGGGGACTAGGGGAGGACTGAGGAGGAGGGGGACTTGGGGAGGACTGAGGAGGAGGAGGAAGACTGACGAGAAAGATGAGGAGGAGGACTGAGGAGGAGGACTGATGATTGAGGAGGAAGAGGAGGAGGATGAAGAGGAGTAGGAGGACTCAGGAGGAGGAGGACTCAGGAGGAGGAGGAGAACGACTGAGGAGGACTGAGGAGGAAGAGGAGGAGGAGGAGGAGGAGGAGGAGGACCCAGGAGGAGAAGGATTGAAGAGGAGGATGAGGATGAGGACTGAGGAGGAGGAGAAGGACTGAGGAGGACTGAGGAGGATGGCTGAGGAGGACCCAGGAGGAGGACTCAGGAGGAGGACTCAGGAGGAGGAGGAGGACTCAGGAGGAAGACTCAGGAAAACTGAGGAGGAGGAGGAGGAGTGAATGGGAGGAGGAGGGGGACTGGGGAGGACTGAGGAAGAGGAGGACTAAGGAGAAGGATGAGGAGGAGGACTGAGGAGGAGGATGAGGACTGAGGAGGAGGACTGAGGAGTACTGATGAGGATGGCTGAGGAGGACGGCTGAGGAGGATGGCTGAGGAGGATGACTGAGGAGGATGACTGAGAGGGAGGAGGAGGAGGAGGAGAAGGACTGAGGAGGAGGAGGAGGAGGAGAAGGAGGAGGACCTAGGAGGAGGAGGACTCAGGAAGAGGAGGACTCAGGAGGAGGACTCAGGAAGAGGACTCAGGAGGAGGACTGAGAAGGAGGAGGACTGAGGAGAACTGAGGAGGAGGAGGATGAGGACTGAATAGGAGGGGGGACTAGGGGAGGACTGAGGAGGAGGGGGACTTGGGGAGGACTGAGGAGGAGGAGGAAGACTGACGAGAAAGATGAGGAGGAGGACTGAGGAGGAGGACTGATGATTGAGGAGGAAGAGGAGGAGGATGAAGAGGAGTAGGAGGACTCAGGAGGAGGAGGACTCAGGAGGAGGAGGAGAACGACTGAGGAGGACTGAGGAGGAAGAGGAGGAGGAGGAGGAGGAGGAGGAGGAGGAGGAGGCTGTGTCTCCAATGTCTCCAAAAGTTGTGTCTCTAATGTCCCCAATGTCCCAAATGTCCCCAATGTCTCCAATGTCTCCAAAAGCCGTGTCTCCAATGTCTCCAAAAGCTGTGTCTCTAATGTCCCCAATGTCCCAAATGTCCCAAATGTCTCCAATGTCTCCAAAAGCTGTGTCTCCAATGTCTCCAATGTCTCCAATGTCTCCAATGTCTTTGTCTTTTTCGAAAAGATAAGGTGCGGGAGACATTGGAGACATGTCACCCCCCCCCCCCCCCCCCCCTTTATAATAACATGTTGACAGGGGTGTAAGAATGATTTTCTTCATGAGGGGGCAAAAATCTTTGAGTTTTTCAAAAGTTCAAATTTAGCAAACGCTCTGGGTTTGGCCACAGCCTGAATTTCAAAAACAGCAAAACGTTCAGTGTCAACCATGCCTGTAAAAGGTTGTTGACTGTGTAATCAAAATTTTATTTCTTACCCTCTAGAATAATATTAACAATTTGACAATATTTTAATTCAAATTTCTTTCTATCTCTCTCGGTTTGGAGTATTGTTTATGAGTCGCATTGTTGTAATGTATTCTGTGTAAAATTATCTTTATCCCGGTTTTAATACTTTCAACACTACTATATAACAAATAATTTGAGATCATGAATACGATGTAGTTACATTGAAACGTCGAGTAAACTCCTTTCCCTAATAAGAGCATTTTTACTTGTCGCAGTAACCGGGATAAAGATAATTTTATACAGAATACATCTACCGGTTATGGTCGGATGATGATTAATTTATTAATCACTCTACACTCGACTGTCACGTGACTAGACTTTTTTAACCCGTTATCTAGCTGGCCCTGAACGACTATTCAAAACCCTTACCCTTTAATCTGATCCTAACCCTAACCCAATCCTTAACAAAAGCATATGCTGAAACCCTAACCCTAACGAGAAATTGAACTAACTTCCTTTTACGGTCATATCACGTGATCGAGACAGTTTAATACCAATATCTCGCCAGGGGAGCATTTAACCCTATGTCATGAGGGGTGATTCGGAATCAGCGGCCGAAAATACATCGATTCAAGTTGGTTTCAACTATCGGGGACCCTTTTAGAACAATCTCGAAGATCGAATGTAGAGTGATTTAGCACGCTCGTCGGCCTTCACTGAAGGTATTAAGTTTTTCGAGAGTGGAGGCCGACTGTCAGCTTGGGATGCAGAGCCAAGTGGGAAACAACGTCAAGGCCCCTTTCCACATGGGTCATGTTGGTTTTGGCAGATACTGACTACTGTGGTAATAAGATATGAAGTGAATGAGTGAAATGAAGCGAGTGAAAAGGGTGTAAGAGAGGAGGAGCTTGTAAGGTAATTTAGGGAAGGAAGGAAGCAGGGCATGTACTACAAAAACAGCTAGTAGTACTGTAAGATAGTAACAATAACCATTAATAATTAAATAACATAGACAGCTACGGCAATATAAATGGAGTGGACCTTTTTGCCCTAATCGGCCAAGATCGACACACTAGAACTTTTGTGACCTATTTTGTCTCCTGTAAGTGAAAGCTTAAGTAGTTTGATATACCCCTGCCAGATCGGCATGACCCCTGCCTGAAATCTTTTGCTAATGTACCATTTGGCAACAATACTAAAATAGTTTATAATTTGTGAAGAGAAATTAAAACATAACTGATTTTTAAAATTTCCTCGAACAAAGCTTTCGACTAGCAGGTTTCTAGTACAATATAATTGATTTTATTGACACACCGAACAAAAAACAACCGGTTATATATTAAAACCAAAAAACAAGAAATGGATTCCCGAAAAAATTACACAAAAAAGACCTAACTACTAGCAATAGCCTAACCAGGCTATAACTGATCATACAAATAGTTCTTCAACTTCCTCTTAAAAGACACAATATTATCGATGTTACAGACATCAAGAGGAAGAGAATTCCATGATTCAGGTGCATAGTTGCTGAACCGCCTGTTAGTCGCCTTCAGTTTAGAGCACTTGGGTATCTTCATAAGTATATATCGCATGCTGTTTTTGTTCTTGTTTCTTTGACACCCATGTCATTGTCATTTCAATTCAATTGAACCAACTCCTGGAGGTACATCTGCGCCAATCCATGAGTCACCTTGAAACAGATAAGGCACACTTTGAAACATATCCAGGGAATAAATTTCAAAATTAAATCCTAACTATCGTTTTTGTCACTGCCCTATTTTGGCATCTCATTTCATCAGTCTTAATTCTCTAATATAAACCAACATTGATAAGTCAATTTTATTGCTGCAGAGAGTAGCCTCTCTCTTCAGACTACACTGTTCATTCAATTGCTCACGACAGGAAGAGAATCTTTGACTAAAGGATAGTTAGGACCTGGGTAAGATGGTGGAGCTGGGTAGGATGCTTGTGGCGGATAGGACCCTGGAGCTGGGTAGGATGCTTGTGGCGGGTGGGACCCTGGAGCTGGGTAGGATGCTTGTGGCGGGTAGGACCCTGGAGCTGGGAAGGATGCTTGTGGCGGGTGGGATCCTGGAGCTGGGTAGGATGCTTGTGGCGGGTAGAACCCTGGAGCTGGGAAGGATGCTTGTGGCGGGTAGGACCCTGGAGCTGGGAAGGATGCTTGTGGCGGGTGGGATCCTGGAGCTGGGTAGGATGCTTGTGGAGGGTAGGATGCTTGTGGCGGGTGGGGCCCTGGAGCTGGGTAGGATGCTTGTGGCGGGTAAGAGGGAGCTTTAGGAGCATCACCAGCTTGAAGACTTTGAGCTGCTAGATTTTGAGGAGCAGAGACATTCTTCCTCAGGAATATGACTACGATAACCAGAGCAGCTACCCCATTAATGATGGACGTGAACAAATAATAATATTCGAAAACACAATCATAAACATAATAAAAATGAACAGGCAAGTGACCAGAAACCTACATTTGATGAACTCAAGCTAATGATAAATGAGCAGGCAAATGTTAGCAATAGCAATGATCGATGTAACATAAATTGGTTGTCAGTTTTTTTATAAGTTAAAACGGCGAGGATGACTGACACAATCGTAAGCTCCAGCCATAATCCGAATCCGTTTCCTATGCAAACCCAAAGGCTGTCAAATTCAATAGCGTTCACACACTTTCCAATAAAACACTGAACACAAACCCCAAGAAGAATCACTTCTGGGTTCGGCAGTTTGGTATTTTCTGCAGATGCTTGTGGATTTGTTTCTTTGAGGAAGTGCATGGCAATTAGTAGCGAAGCTAGTGCCATTATCGGGATCGTGCAATACATGTAGATGGTGCGGCTTCGCTGTATCTTCGCTGTATCTGTATCTGTGAAACATGTAAATGCTGACATTCCAAGAAAATCGCCACTTAGGTTGAGAATGAAAGATCCTGCAAAAGAAACTAGTCCTTGAACCAACTTTTTGTCTTTGCTTTTAATGTACGTTAAGAAAGCCACTATTGCAGACAGCCCGATAAGCAGCAACCAAAACATTCCCGCATTCCATGAGCAACCACGATGATTGCTAGCTATGGAAGATATCAGAAGACTTGACAGAGCAGCTTGTGCGAGAAATCCTACCAACATCATGTCCGGATTGGGAAATTTATCCATTTCTGAACCTGAAAAAGGTAGTAAAGGTCAAAGTGGTGGATTCAACACTGAGTAGTCACAAATTTATGATACTCTTATTCGTTTGGTGCGAATACTTTGCACTCTCGATGAAGAAGGGCAAAAATACACATAATTGAAATTCAGGCCAAAGCCTGAATTTCGAAACATTTTCGGGGTAAGGACAAAAAGGAAATTGCGGCATGTGCAGAATCGCGATTTTTCACGTTTGCCGCGATAAATCACGATTTTTTTCAGATCCTGACCTAGCAACAAGTCGCGATTTTTTCAGATCCGATCCTGACCTCGTGACAAATCGCGATTTTTTTCAGTTTTTTTCAGCTGATAAATTAAAACTTTCCTAGCTGTCTCATTTCTTGGAAAGTTCAATGAGTATGATGGGCAAACGGTCGTAACGAATCCAGCCCGAATCTTTTCAGGATCACCATGTTAATTTAAATATAGCTAACCAGTAACCAGAACATGCAATGAACTTAAATTCAGTTTGATCAAGTGCATAGCAGTAAAGACAAAGCAATAATCGAACGTTCTTTTCAATACATGAATATAATATTATCATACAATAATATAAAGAACATTTATATTACATTTTACTTGGTGTACACGGTACTTATAAAATCTAAAAAATCTTTTTATCTTCGGCTTACAAAAATTACCGAATACTTGTCAAAATTGTCAAACGTTTTCAAAAACCCCAAATATGAAACGAAAAATCTTTGGCTTCCATATACCGATGGAAATGATGATAATATGATATAACCCGATATAATGATGCTATAATAGTATATATATCGATAAAAAAGGGATGCGATAATAGACGATTATAGTTTGATATTTTAATGGCTCAAGATGCTGTCCAGCATCTTTATCGAACTGAGGCAAGATCTGACACAAGAATTTGGTGCGGTATGTGTGTAGCACCATGGAAACCATTTTCAAAAAATGTTAGGTATCGCCAATTCGGCAATTCTAGCTTGAACATAAGCTTGTCATAGTGCTTCATAAAAAAGCGTGATCAATTCTTGGCTCTTGCCCCAGCTGTTCTTACAGAGTAGAGAATAATATCTCATGCAATAATTGGAGTATTATATTGTGATAAAACATGCATATGCCTATAAAATCATGCTACATGCACTGCATACATAACTTTATATTACTTTGATCACTTTCAAATTTAACTCGAGAGAGTTATACTATATAGTTATATCTTAGACTCTACCTTACCAGAAGGGATCTCAGAGTCGAAGCTCTGACAAAAACATATACAAAACATTATCTACATTCTACAACCCATGGTAAATGTATGTATGGATTAGATTAACTTTAACACTATAAAATACAAACTAAAAAATGTCTAACTTTAAATCTAACTTTAAATATTTTCCGGCCTAGTCTGAAAGTAACAATTGATTATAAAATGTATTAAAAGAAAAGAAAATAACTTAATTGTGGAAACTTATAAACTTTTTTTCAAACTATCTTCAAAACTTAAGCATAACTGTAATATCTACAATCTTCAGCAGGAGCTTCATTATATCGGTGAGTTTAACAATTAACATGAGTAATCCTTGTAAATGATACCGTTTTCTTCTATCTTTTCAACGTTGCTGTGGTTGACGACAACATTGCTGAAGTTGTTGTTAGGTATGTTCTTAATGGCGATCTGGTAGAGCCTCAACTTGAAAATGGTGTAGAGAGAGTAGGAGAGTAAAACAGTGAGGAATATAATTATAGCAGCTGAAAAAAATATAGTTAGCTAGACAGTAGACAAACTTACAAATCTCGACTAGGTTAACTTTAAAGCAACATTTAATAAAGTGAGTACATTGATGACACAATTTAAATTTTGCTTTTTAATATTATAGTATCATATTAGTTGAATTGAATATAATAGTAAATATACATTATACATATTACAAACCAAATGTGACGGTGAGGATTTTCCATATGCACCAATCATCACAATCCATGATCACTCCTATCCATTCTCAGACATGCTATCTAATATGGTCCATA